GCAAGCGATCAAGGAGTGCGCTGCTTGGTGACTGGTGGTGGTGGTGGTCGACCAAGGAGGGGCGGTTGGTATGGATGGCTTGCTGGGCTGGGCTGGCCTGGCAAGGAGCTGGCTATGAATAGATCAGGGAACGGCGCAGTTGGTGAAGGAGGCGCTGGCGAGTTGAGGCGAGTGCCACGTATCCGAAGTTTCGTGCTGTGTGTGGTTGCTGTATCCTGTATCCTGTATGTGTACCTAATAAGGCGAGTCGTAAGGCGAGGGGAGGCTCGAGAAAATAATTAAAAGGAGCGACAAGGGCTGAAGAGGATATCAATAGGATGGTAAGGTTAGGTAGCAAAACGGTGTGAACTGCGGATTCGAGGTTGGGGTCCCCCAAAAAGTGCCCAAGGTGCTGGATCCGGTAAACGACAAGCCGGCAAGAAAAAGAGGGAGAACGGGAAGACAAGGAAGTGGGAAAGATGTGTTCAAAAGTGTGTTTAGTTTGTTGTGTGTCGTGTGTGTGTGTGTTCTGTGTGTGCGTGTGCGAACCCAGCGAATATGACGGAGCAACAGCCCGGGCGGGACAGCTCTTCGATAGGAGGAGGTATCCACAGGTACGGAAGGAACTTCAAGGAACCTGACGGGAACTAAGGATGCCCATCCAGCACGGGGGACACGGAGGACGGGGGAACTTGATGAGACTCAGAGAGACAGAAAGAAAAAAACGAAGCTTGCCAGGTCCGGAACCCCTTTGCTGTGCTGCCGCCGCTAAAACAGCCCAAAATTCAATTTCATGCGAGAGACGCTGCTGCAGGAGGGAAGGCCAGAGATTGGGTAGACGAGAATCGACTTGTTCCTCCCGCGCGCTGCCGTGATAGGTGATGGGTGCAGATGCAACCTCGACATGTTGTGTACACCCATACACACACTAAGGTAAGTAGTCAGGCACAATGTACGTGGTACTAATCTTTCTATACGGAATCCTGCGTATCCGTACGTTCAGGGGAATTAGCATGTCTGCCCAATGCCATCATGTCTTGCTCTCTCACAAGCCTCTCACACCTCTTTCCCGCCTCGGCCTGTCAACAACAGATCTTTAAAAGTTCAGATTGTCCAGAACCAAATGACAAAAAATGCGGCAGTGAAATGAACATTGGAGACTCGACACCCTGCGAAATGTTTGGCTGGGGTTTGTGGACTTGAAACAACTGGGAGTCGACCAGGGCCATGCCGCCTTCCACCTCAAATACCAAGTATTCAAGTACATCTTGGTCACTGGTGTACTTCAAAAGGTACTTACCTGTCTACCTAAGATAGTCACTCTGGGGTGTAGCCAGTCATTTTCGAGAATTCCAACCCTCCTTACCAGCTACAAGTTCCATCTTCTTTCACCCGCTGTCAGAAATCTCTGAAGCTGCCTCCGTCTTCCCGATTCTCGTCACATATTTTCATCTTCTTCTTCTATTCCCTCTCCTGCTCCTGAAGCTGTTGTTCTTCTGCCTCTCTCTCTCTCTCTCTCTCTCTCTCTCTCTCTCTCTCTCTCTCTCTCTCTCTCTCTCTCTCTCTCTCTCACTCTCCTTGACACTGCATCACGGTCCGTTCGCCGTTTACGTATGGACCAACTGTCAACAATGTACCGTTATCGGAGACGAGGTCTCTTACTCATGTTCCCTGCACCGGAAGTATACCCGCCACTGTTAGTCAACTTTGAGAAAGGAGGTCTGGCCCTGGCCCCTGTCCCTAGGTGGGAGGATATTAAGCTCTCGGGCCTGGTCTCTGGGCCTTGGGCTCCTCAGACCTGGACTCCTGGGACCATTGAGAAAACGGCCATTCGCACTGGACCAACTTTCAGACTTGTTACCTAGTCCACATCCAGCGCAGCTAGAGGAATACCTCCAACTTCAACCAAACCTGCCACCTCTCGCGCACATCGTTTGTATCTTCCTAATCCGGCTCTATGAGTTTTACCCACCTCGAACGCAACTTCCGACCTCCCACTTCCACTTACGCATAGTCCCACCTCATCATAATCCGGATTCAGGTAAACAGCTCCCTCTTGCCTGGGTCAAGACGTCGTACAAACATACGCCTTCGTCATGCTTCTCATGACCAGCTCCCAATCCGCTGGTCACGGGAATTAAAGCCCGACCCGCTGAAACTCTCATTACTGGAGACGGGAGACCTCTACCAGCGTTCTGGACAAGCCGCAAAGCCGCTGCCATCATGTAGGTATCCGTACGCGCTTCGCCCTCACGTATCGAGAAATGTTCCCGGCGTCGATCTTTCCAATTCGTCAACAACCTTCTGCCCGTCTCCAGCGATCGACATCAATATGATTTTCTCCCTCCTCACTTCCTGAAGCATAAGGTTGTCTTCACTCCGTCAACCACGATGAACCATCCCAAGCAACCACCGCCGCCACCACCGCCGCTCACTCGTGCATCACAGCTGCTGGCCCTTCTCGATGTGGCTCATCCCAAACACTAGGTAACTTCACTCAACTCAGTTGCAAACGGCGCCAGTCGAGAATTCAGCCTCCAGATCCAGACCCATGGCGTCGACGGCGCTGACTGTGGCTTTCTCAGCTTCTGTTCGGACCCGAGCCTTACACGTCCCCCGCCAAGATATTCCTCTGCTGAAGTAAGTCTAAACGAGAGGCGAGGAATGTGAAGTAATCACCACAACATACCAGTTGCCTCGCGCAAACACCATCCCAGGCTCATCGCGTCCTCCTCGAGCTGAAGAGACTGTTCTGCTTTCAATCTTGCCACACTTTCTCATCGCCCACTATCCGCCGTCACCACGCGGCTCTCATCCCGCTATTCTACGCATTCGAAATCCGAAGAGACCGCCGTCGATCACCCGGCACACACCCGCAGAAACATCCTATTTCCATCAACCGCGGTACGAGTATCCGTACAGGCTCACGTCCTTACCGGCAACCCGTGCGGTGGTCTGCGACCCCCCGAAAGCTTGCTGAGCACGAGCAACAACAAGACTACGCTCGCGTTCACGGCTGCAGGCGAAAGTCAATTACTTTCGTCCGAAGTTTCGTAAGCAGCGTAAAGGTTGCAGACAACACGAGCAAGGAAAAAAAATAACATTAGGAACAAATGAAGAGTGAGAAGAAGAAAAATAACAAAAAAAAAAGAGCTTCATCTGAAACCCAAGCTTCCTCGGGACCGAACATCTGGGGCCCGGCGCGAACGCACATACCCGCTCGTCCCATCAAACTCTAGTGGCTTCGGCCAGTCGTCCCTTATTCGCTCCTACACGTATTTCTCAAACTGTGATTCCTTCAAGGAGCTCGGCCAGCATCGCGATGCATCCGAAGCTCGGTCGACGAATCTTTCTGATGGGAGAGAGAATGAAGGAAGTTTACATGATACGGGACTGTTGAATGAATCATCGAATATGCACTCCGCGGCATACAGTCCCAAGCTCGGTGATACCTCACCTGTCACATCAGATCCAACATAGTGGTTGCACTAGAACCGACATGAGAAGAACAGGTCATCCCGAAGAGATGCAGGCTCGCCGGCCTTGGGGGCCGCAGGTACCCTGACTGGCCTACCTATGAAATGCCGACTCAACCTCTGCATGCCCAGGGTGCGAGATGTCTCACCAATACCAAGATATGCTATTTTCAGGGGTTAACATATCAGCCTATTTCTCCCTGCGCCATGTCTCTCGGTGCCGAGACATGGGACTTCTCAAAGAAAGAATGCCTAGCAGTCTGATAGCGAGGTGCTGAAGCGTTTGGGCAAACAGAGGATTCATATGTGATACGTGAAATACTTGATCACGGTATCAGGATACGAAGAGAAGGTGTCGTTTTGGCGTGACTTCTCTTTCCGTCCGAACTACGTGGCTCAGGCCGGGGCCTCACTTTGATCCTGCAGCCTGTCATGAATTTTGTAACGACGTGAGCGAGGGTTCATGATGTTCGTCTGAGCATACACTTGGGTGTCATCGGTTTGGCGAGTTGAAGCGTATGCTTTCAGTGAGCTGTTCTTGCGTCTGGCATGGGTGGGAGCTCATGTCGGAGAGTCGGTCCCTGCATATCAGCTTTTATGTTCTACGGTATGAGAGGCATCAGAGCGCGGGACTTGGCATCGCAAGATTTTCTGTTGAGAGAGATGTAAGCTTGCTACATCCAGAGCCTGATATCTTGCGAACAATGTCGTGCGTCCAGCAGGAGCACTTTATGGCTTCATGTGTCTCTTAACTGCTTGGTAAACTGTCCATGATACTTGAGTTTTGACTATGAAGGAAGTCGATATGAAGAGGGTCTGGTGTCAGTAGAGCTATGAAGTACCGCCTATGCCGTTGACGCCGTCATAATCAAGGTACCGTCAGTTCTCATATCGTCGTACTTAACTTATCGAAAGAGGGGAAATAGTGGGCAATCTGAATCTGATGATTGACGAATATTACACCATACTGTGTAAAGTCTATCGAGTATCTAGGGGTTTGGTGTTCCTACTTCTTACGGTTGAATTAAACTTACAAGATATATCGCAGATCTGTTGGCGAAAAGCCCAGCAGATGGATAGACCCGTGTGCCAATGGCCTGACACCCCTGCGATATTTTGTTGCCTTATCTTTGATCGATTTCAAGAGAATAGGAATTATCAACTGACTTATGGAGTAATTCTGCTATGGTACTGTGCACATATATACTGAAGTAACCAGGTCTAACTGGAAGTCAAGATTTGCGCAAATCCAGGATATGAGCAAATGACTGATGCTCCATTGAAACACACGAAATCGAAAACAAATCGGGTGAATTATTAGAAATTATTATCAAAGAGTGTGTAGCCTATTAATCCTTGCGCCAATATTGTCCAATCCCTCACATTATAGTCTCTTGACGCGCTGATCCCAAGCATCATCACATTTTCATGCGAACCAGTTCGCGTCATAACTCAACGCTGAGTCTTGCTCAGGCGAGTGACCGGACAGCTTCAAGCTACCCTAAGTTCTCCTGCTCATCCAAGAGCCTCGTGAACCTGGCATTCTTAAAAGGTAACATCGGGGCTGGCGCCAATGATAAGAACAGGGTTCAGCTTGGCCTGGATGTTGCGGATACGATCAGCCAGTCCGTTGGCACTTCCAGCAGCGTTCGCCACGGCCGTGAGAGCAGTCGAGGCCGCGGCGCTGACGGTGCTGAGCGCGATCTGCAGGGCGAGGTTGGCTTGGGTGTAGGCGAGCGTGTAGGCCGCCTTGGCGGCGGGGTCGGCGACGGCATTAGCCTGGGCCTGAAGGTTCTGCAGCTGGGCGGTGGCCTGGCGGGCGAGCAGCTGGGCCTGAACGACTACGTCCTGCGCGATCTGGACGACCTCGGCCGTGGGAATGGAGGGCGGGGCGGCGGAGGTCGCGGACGGAGCGGGGATACCCGAGGGGACGACGCCCAGGAGGTTGCCGACGACGGTGCCGACTCTGGTACGGATGCTGTTTGTGTTGCTTGTTATTTGGCGGATGACGGCGTTGACCTGGTCGGTTCTCTGGGGAGAAAAGGGGTTAGTCATTGAGTTTCGGGAGGAGTCCAGCATGGCAGTTAAACTTACATCCTTTACTGTTGTTCCGGCGGTTCTGGTGAGGTCGCCGGTCAGGGTTGTTGTCTTGCCGAGGTCGGTGCTAACGATCTTCAACGCGGTGTAGAGCGGGTCCGTCAGTTCACCTGGGTTGAAGACGACTTCGGGAAGAACGACGGTGCCCGGTGTGATAGTTGCGCGAGGGAGGATTGCGGCCTCGACTGAGGCGAAGGAGAGGACGGCAACCGCCGCGGTAAGAGCCTTGGTGTACATGTTGGCCTTTGGGGAATTCTTAAGAAAGCAGACACTGTTAAGAATTAAAGTGAGAGGAATGTGAGAAATGTGATTGAGGTTGTAATTGCGAGATGTTGATGATGATCGGAAGAGTTATGAGCTCTGGGTGGACGATATCGAAGCCTCTTATAGGAATCTATAAATGCTTCGAGACAGGCGATTTCTACCTGACCGGCTCAGTGTGTTCAATCTCTGAAGTCTCGCAATCCGCAAGTGACGACTCCGATGCCACGATGACGAGATGTTTGCCCCTGAGGTTGCGAGTTGAAGTCCTCATCCGGATCGACTTCTCCTCGACGTAAGTATCTCTCGATGCAAAAGCTCCGATGTCTTCTCTCATAAAAACGTGTTGTTCATGCCGATATCCGTTTTCAGGGTTGGACACGGTCGAAAGAAGCCTTGGAGATCATCTCGGAGTAGTTGTTGATCCCGTCAACGATTGTCCCCTCGGATTGATGTCGGATGCCAAGATTGATCAGCGCCCAATGCCGTGGTAGACAGGTCGATTTCTCTTCCCGGCGTGGATGAGGTTCCTGCCAAGATGCCAAGGGATATACGGATGCTGGAAACGTCAGATACCAAGCTTTCTTGGCGATAGGATAGCAGCAAGATATGGAATGTCTGTCTTGACAAAGACCAATAGCTTTTCACTCATGGGAAGCACGACCAGGTGCGTTGATGCAAAACACTACTTGTCGCCTTGAACTGAAGATCTTCATGATTTGTTTAAGCTCATGGACACTATTCTAGTTCACGCCACAAGATGAAGTAAGTGGAGCGCCAGAAGACCCTGAACGAATTGTCAGTAAGGATGGGTGTCTGGATCGTCCACTAATAATAATTTTGATCTACAAGCTAGGTGCAGCAGTATAGTCTGTACGGAACTACAGGACGTAGCAAGAACTACCTCATATCGCGAGTGTACTGTATGATCTAGAGAATAAGCCATAAACGCCACGCCATCGGTACCGTAGTCGAGCTTCAGCCATGTAGACCCTTTCCTGGCCTTGCGGCTTACTAAAAAAATGCAGAGAATGGCGTCATTCCCGAGTTCAACAGTATGTGTCTTCATTGAAGAAGTTTCCCCCTCTGCAAAAGCCGGACAGAGACAATGCCTACAGGACCGGAAGGAGATTCGAAAATGTCTCACATAGGGACCAAACGGTTGAAGGTAAGATCAACGAACCCCGCAAGCGCAGCCTTATCCGGCTCGGACGAGAATAAGCAATGCCCTGTAGGTAATAGTCCAAAAGACACTGTCTCACACGTAGGATGTTGATGTTTCCGGCCCACAAGCAACGGCCGCCTCAAGAATCCTCTATTCGGCGGGGTTCTTGCTCATTATGTCGCAATTTGTGCCACGGTCCGAAGGATCGATCGGCCCGGTTCTGCAAGGCATTATGTTTAATTCTCTCCTTGCCTAGTCCAAGGCCAGTCCTACGCATGACTAATTCGTGGGGGAGGCAACTTCGCTTGCGGCTGGAGAACAGTATCAAATCCTTTGAGCCTCATTTGGAGCCCTTTATCCAGATTACTTCCCCGAGCTACAGATTCGTTTCCGTTTTCGACATATCCCCCTGATTACGTGCACGAAGCTTATGCGTGGAAAGATAAGCTTAAGAATGACGGTTGAATGACCCTCGGCTCCTCGGAATCACATATGGAAGGGTGAGAGAGGCGAACAGACTCGGTTCGACCTAGCGAATTGGCTTGCTTAGAAGCATATCTGATGATCAAGATGAATCGACGTGCCTAAGATCGGCGCAAAGAGGTACCTTAGCTACCGAGACTGCAAGCACAACGTGGAGTCTGGGAAATCATGAGTGAGGAGGCCGGTGCTGTGGATCTTTGTGGCGAGCTCGATCGAGGAAAGAGTTCTCAAATGCTCTTCAAAGGCACGTCAAAGCGTCCTGACTCCTGAGTGATGAGGTAGCAGCTGTGACACAGGCCCGGAGAATTGCTCCGGACCGCGAGGAGCATGCCAGGCAGGCTCCAGCGAGTGCGCTGAATTTCGGGAAAGGCTGCTCTTACGGAATATTTTGCCTCTTTTTGAACAAGTTGATGTCTCTCACATAGCATCTAGTGTGTCTCAAAGACTTCAGATGGCCTCTCATCATTACGCGAGCCATGTTGATAATATGGGACGAAGGGACTGTCTCTAAGCGGCTGCATGTCTTCTCCTTAGAATGACTACCCATAACAAAGTGTCATCTGTCAGCGCTCCATAAGAGATACTGGTAATCTGCGTCCGTATAAGTGAACACCGAGGTTATGTGAACTGACCTCGATAGAACTCCGAGGGCTCGCAACCTCAGAGAAGTCCACCAAGTAGCATTTTAGAGCATGCCTAGCGAGAGTAAGGAGACGTAGAGCTCAGCTCGTGTTGATCGTCAAGCTCTCTTTCCGCGCGGAAATTAAACACAATACTCATTGCTTGGGAGCATTTCAGGCTGGCAAGAACTCAAATTACCAGGCTATCACCATTGAACTAAGTCAAGGTGAGAACGCAGTAAGCTTTCTAGATCAACCTGACAAGGGAACACGTGTGGGTCCGTTGAACCGGCACACTGCCACGCCTCCCTTAACTAGGTGCTTACCCAGCAGGCGTCGGTCTTGGAAAGATTCACTTCAAAGCGCCAAGAAACGTAATGGTGGTTTTCAAGGTGTGATAATCAAGTTGACAGAAATATCATCAGCAGACGAGGTATTGGGGCCGCAATCGAGCCTCCAGGAAAGCAAATCAGGCTTGCGCCTGCCATATCTATGTTTAATGTGAATACTCCAGGAGAGATCAACAGGATGCTTTGAAGTGAGGCCCAGGAACTAAATACGTTTCCAACGCAAAATATGGCATGTCATACGTAATGGTAAAAAAAAAAAAAAAAAAAAAAAAAGGCGTGAGGGACAGCTGCTGACACTCAACCAAGCGTTTGAGGCTTCGCAATAACGGTACCGAAAGATGCTGTGTGAAAGAATTCAAAAAGCCGTTGAGGGGAGGGATGACGAAGCGAGCGACAACGTCAGTCAGCCGGCAGGTTGGATTAACCTTACTTTCCAATCGATCGATCCCTCGCATCTAACTCGCTGCTCCTCAGAATGAACTCACCACTCATAATGCTCCTTCCCCTTGTTCGGTCACTTCAACGGACCCTGCCGCACCCACCTCAGCCACAACTCCATCAATCTGAACTTGCTAAACGATAGTTGTGGCGCTTCCACCAATCACTACTCACACCCATCACGCTTGACGATTTCTTGTGGAAACCCCGTCCCCCCAAGCCACACTCGCAACCTCACCCTGCTCAGCCACGCCTACGTCACCGCCCTTCCAACGAGCTCTTGGCATACAACACCACACAGCACAAGCGACCCTTCCAGCCAAGTTTCCAAGGGGATACCGTTGTGTCACTGGTGCAATTCAAGAAAAGGTTGGGGAAGAAAAGCAAGCCAAGGGGGGAGGAGATGAAGGCTAGGTTAGTGGTCTGCTGCCCCTTCGTCACTGATTCGCACTAGGAGGGAACCGACGTCTAAGTAGGTATTTAATACAAGCCCGTTCCTGCTTGGCCGTTCATCTATAGTTCATGACCCAAATCAACAACCCAAAACATAAGCTTTCCACTGCGAATAACTTCGACAAGAAGCATAAGGTATATTTATACTCCTCAAGTGGCAAACGAGCGTTCTACGCACTCCCGGACCTTGAACTAATAAACTCTCCAGCAATTTCACTTCTACATAAATTCACCACAAACCACCAAACAAACATGCCTTTCTTCTACTCCAAGCCCATCGGCGGCCGCAACTTCGGCACCTCCGTCCACGCAGACCGCCACGGCGTCCACCGTGGTCCCTGGCGCATGCGCATCGGCCGCTTCAACTGCTTCCGATAGAGTCGACGCCACTCTCACGGCGTAAAGGTGTCGGTGCGATGAGCCTTTGGACAGCAATGTCGAGCATTTCGTCCTCGCTCTAGTCCTCTCCGTTTCTTCCAGGATACGACCTGAGTTGTCATTGGAATGGGATGACCAAACAAAACCAAGCTCAACGCCTCTCTTCTCTTCTTGTTCCCCTTTTCTACTATCACGAGATCATGGATACCAGGAGTCTGTATTTGCGTTTTCAACGGCTTGATGATGGGAGAGCGAGCGTTTCCTGTCCTTCTGTCCTTATTGAGTTTCTCTTGCGCTGCGATCGGGAATGGAAATTGATCGTCATGCGGATGGGTGGAATGATGCAATGCATACCTAGATAATACATTACTTCTCCACAAACTATTCTCAGTTGGTGATTTCCGTGATATGCATCGAGTGTAGTCGTCAGACCGTTTCCTTGGTGTCTGTTGGTCCAAAGCGTGGTAGCTAGTCTGGCAGTGTCAATTGCAGGCGAGCTCGACAACAAGGGTCGTAATCATCATCACCCAGGGGCCACCCCGTCTCTATTTGTTATATCGCGGGCTTGATTATGAAAACTGGAAGCTTGAAAAGTGCTTTTGGCTGATGATAGACCTGCCAGGAGGAAGCGATATGATGAGTAGACGGCATACAGGGTAGTCTAGGGAGTTGAACTTGGGCGAGGAACGATTCAGCCGAGTGAAGGTTAGGCTCAATTAACCAAGTAGAAAGTTTGACTCAGCCGGTGAGGAGATTTAGAAGAAAGCACAACAACCACATGAATGTCACTGGTGCAGAATACAATGCAGGGGCCAAAGGGGTTGGTGATATTCTCGAATTACCGAGCATATGAAGGATCCTGTTTTCCATCCCACCCAACGCCTTATTCTTGTCAATCGACGGTAGTAGTAAGAAACACACGCCTGAGTGAACGTCAAGTCGTTGAATTTTTGCTGCGGTTGTTTTTTTGTATTTCCTAGCACAACGGTACGAGCCATGCCAAGCCGCCAGCCCTGAATCATCGCAGAAACCGTTTCCGATGCATTCCCGTTCCCTGGATATGAGAGCACAACGCAAGTAACCAGGCGATGAAAACCGAACCCCCTCGCCCCGAACAGCTGATTTTTCCTCCACGCAACCCACTGAGAGAAAACTTTTTACATCTTCTTCTTCGCTTAGACCTCGGTGGTGACCTTGGCCTTGGGGTTCGTGACCTTGACGCCGAGCTGCTTGGCGCGGCCGATGATGTCGATGCGCTTTCTCGAGGAGACGTTGTGGGCGATCCTGTAGCGGGTTTGTTAGCTGGCTCTGTTTTCCTGTGGGGAAGATACCCTTCGCTCGGCTCTTCGGTCGGAGCTGGTAGGCAGGTTTTGGGGTGGTACGCACTCGGCAGCGTAGGTGCGGTTGTGCATCAGCAGGAGGTTGACGTCGTTGACGTTGCTGACGAGGAAGGCCTTGTGGCCGGAGGGCATCATGTACTTGGTCTTCTTGTTGGAGCCGAAGCCGATCTGAAGAGAAGGAATGCCAGGTTAGCAACTGTAATCCTAGGTTCCTGAAACCATATCCGCCCCAAAGATTGCTCCTCCTCTTCTTGATGTCCATTTCCAAGTCCAAATCTAAATCCAAATCCAGCGGGGAGGTGTCTCGACGTACCGAGGGCATGGCAGTGTTACCCCTGAAGCGACGGCGGACGCGGTTGTCGATACCCTTGGGCTTGCGCCATGATCGATCAACGCGCATAAAGCGGTCGCTCTGGTGGCGGTTGAAGAGCTTCGTGCCTGTTCAAAATCACACCCGTCAATCCTCTCGTTCCCAATCCAAGGTTCTCGTTCGGTTGTTTCATCGTCGGGGTTGTCGGGTACGCGGGGTCGTAGAGGGGTGCTGTGTCCTTGGGGAAGGAAAAAACATACGCTTCTTCACGATAGGAACGTGCTTCTTTGCGGCGACCATCTTTATGAAACCAAAAGTCAGTAATTAAATCACAATATCGACAGCATGTCGATCGAGGGTGCCGTAGCGATTGAATCTCACCTTGACGGCTGTTCCTGGCTATTGGGTTAGTCGGGGCGGGTGTACGTCGTCAAATTCGGGCTTCAAGGCGATCGTGAAATTTGGGCGACCACCATTTCGAATCGCACTGGACGTGGGCTCTTTCCGAAGCCCTAAGATTTTGTCGGTCACGTGTGGGCCGCTTAGCGGGGGAAGAAAAAAAAGTGCAGGAGCGGAGACCTGCTACTGGCCCAACAGGTCGCGCTAGTGGAAGGGACTCTTTTCGTTCTGCAGCCAATGCAATCGGCCTGCCTACGCAAGGGGACTCCAAAAAAAAAAAAAAGGGTCGAGGAGAGCACAGACCAGCGGTGGTGCAGTTGACGAGGCGGCATGTCCTGCATCAATTTCCCACGTCTCTGGAAACACTATTGTTCAAGAGCCAAAACAATTGCCAACACCAGCAAAAGTAATTTCCCACACCGAGGTTCGAACTCGGGACTCTCCGGATGTCATTGGAAACATGAAAGCGGAGTATACTAACCACTATACTATATGGGACGTGGTTGTTATTTGATGACAGGGAAGAGGACTAACCTGTACATAGACCCCTAGCGGGGCCAACAAAGCCCATAATACCAGAACCAGAAGCGGTTTGTGCTTTCCATGAGTCACCACTGTTCGCTATACGACTGCACCAAGGTTGAGAAGCGATATAACAACCGTGTATCGCGGGCTGCCTTTCATTCATGAGGGGGATGATGCCCAAACTACCAAGCAAAACTCCTCTCCAGTTCCCACGTCTATGCTCACCCCCCTACACCGTCCGGGTCGTCATGTCTGTCATGAGCTTCAGGGCGTCTAGCCCAAGACTCTGTCCTCTAAAATCTCTATCCACCTAGCACCTCTTACTGAGGCTGGCACTGAGGCTGGCCATCGTCTTCATCTTCGTCTTCCCATTCGCCACCGAAACGCGGGTCTCCCGAGTTGGCGCCCATCTGTAGACATTTGTGTTAGCGCCAGGTATATGATGATGACAGGACCTGTGAAAACTTACCGAATCCAGGCTATCCACCTCTTCGTACTCAACCTCATCAACCTCCTCGGCTGTGATGGGAGGAGGAGGGGGAGGAAGGAGCTTGTTCAGAGCATCGTACTCTTTATCATCCTTCAACCAGCCATCCTCGGGGAACTCAACATTGACAATCAGGTACAAGTCACCCTTCTCTTCGCCGCGCTTCTGAGGCATACCCTCGCCAGCGACCTTGAGGATGTCACCGGGGCGGAGGATTTCGCCGCGCTGTCTTTCCATATGAATACCGCGGCCGTCAAGGTGCGTCAACACAACACGGGAAAAGCCACCGAGAGCCTCAGCAAGAGAGACATTCAGCTCGGCAGAGAGATCGTTGCCGATGCGAGTGAACTCGTCATGGGGCTCCTCGGCCAAGTGGAAAACAATGTCTCCGGGGGTCTGGTCTGGGAACTGGTCCGCCTCGCCCTCCAACACGATCCTCTCTCCGTTCTGGGAACCTCTGGGAATGTAAATCTCGAGGACCTTGGTCTCGGAGGTAGTGCGCTTGCCCTTGCACTTCTTGCAGCGGTCCTTCTCCTTGCAGAAGTTTCCGGATCCCTCGCAACGATCGCAAATAACAGTCTCTTTGCGGACCATACCCGGGCCGACCTGGCGGAAGGCCTCTGCCATACCGGCGCCTCTGCACTTCTCGCACTGCTGGGGCTTGACGTTTGCCTTGGCGCCGGATCCCTTGCAGGTGCCGCAGACAACCTGCTTGTTTGCGGAGAACTTGACGGTCTTGCCTTTGTACAACTCCTCGAGTGTGACCTTGTAAGGCTGGTCCTCATCGGGACCGCGACGCGGTCTTCTGGGACCGGCGCCAGGGCCACCGGGGCCGCCCATGCCCATACCGAACATTTGTGACAGAATGTCGTTCAAGTCGACCTCGACGCCGCCGGGACCGCCGGGGCCGCCTCGCGAGGGGTCAAATGCGGCCATGCCATGGGTGTCGTAGAGGTGACGCTTGTCCTCATCTTTAAGGATTTCGTAGGCCTGGCTGACAGCCTTGAACTTGGCTTCCGACTCCTCTCTGCGTTCCTCGGGGACTTTGTCGGGGTGGTGAAGAAGAGCAGCCTGTGAAAGATGGGTGTGTCAGTATGGGGGTGTTGCCACTTGCGTATGATTGTAGTGGTCGTTGCGACCAAGAGGAGGGGTCACGAACCTTTCGGTATGCCTTCTTGATCTGATCCTGCGAAGCATCCTTATCAATACCGAGGAGCTCTGGAAAATGCGTCAGATGTGATCCACTGCGAAAAAAGTACCCCTGGGCTCCATAGGCAGAGTCTTACCGTAGAGATCAATATCTTCCTCCCCCGCCATGCTCGGTCCACCACTGTCCATGATTGAAGCTTCTTCGAAGGGCACTCGGGCAAAGTCTTGCTCGAGATTCGGCCTTCAGAGGAGTGATTTGCAGTTGTGAGAAGGGTGGGATGTGGAGTAGAATTGAAAATATTTTGTCTGGAGTACGGTGTACCTGCCGGTAGTAGGCCTTTGTTTGGCGGGGTACCCAGCATGCCCGCACCTCAGTGCCTTGCTGGGCGTGCGGCTGCTTTGCAGGTTCACAGCGCTACAGGCAACCTGCTGAGAGCGCGCGGCAGATGTTTGTTGGCAGTCGGCGGGGGTACCTTGTACACTACCTAGGTACGGTATAGAGGTAAGCAGCCCAGGCCCCAGTCTCCTTCCCCAGCCGCCTATCCGCCTGCACCTGTTCATCAGCAACCTCCACTGCTTTCCAGGTTCTAGAAGGCGGTGTCCAGTTGCTTGCCTACCTAATTATCTAAGGTAGGTTCCTCGAGACCTACCGCTTTCCATAGATCCGCTAGGATCGTTGAGTGCTGGCTTAGTTGCCAAGGCCCCTCAATACTTGCCGAGACTAAATATACTTGTGATTGGATCTCTCAACAACAGAGACGGAGTTCACCAGTCATCAAACAGGTTAGTATATTGTTGCATTGTATGACGATCCCAAGTTACATACCCAGCCTGGATGGGAACAATGACACTTTGTTAGGCTTTCACAAGCAAGTCAATGTGATCGGTGTCAACCCGAGGCTACCGAATAGCAGACTCCAGAGGGACTGAGAGGACTGAGCTCACTCACCGCAAACAAGTGCCTCATCAAACTCTGCCTCTACTGCTCACCTCTGTCCGCTATACTTCTCGGACGGGCACTCGGACAAACTGCTCAAAATGATATGTATAGTGTCATCCGAAAAGTCTGTGAAACCTAGCGACAGTTCGAGATTCTTGAGATGAATACCGCCTACTCCGTTCTTGTTCCACCATGTCTGTTTGGAGATTCTAATTCCAATGAAGCATATCCTGAAAGGAACATCATGGCCGATTGATTTTCTTGTTTGTCTACGAAGACAGAGTGGAATTGGTGGAGGACTACAGAATGAACACTCTATCATGGTAGGGTTGTGAATAGAAGTCTTTGTAACTGAAGGCACGCACAAGCCACTGTCGTATAAGTCAGTATCTCGCTTGATGCATATCTCCCAACCGCGCCACACGTGGCTGAATCTCATCGACAAATTTCACACTTCGATCAGTTCATCCATCGACCGCCAAACACATAAAGGCATCTTGAACAAATGTCTTCATCATGTCAATGATAGCCCTGAGATCCCAGGGCCGGTACCTCTTCCAGCGCTCATTCGATGCGTGCCGCGCGGGCTCGCACCCGAGATGGTGCTCGTCCGCGAAGAGCAGTGGCAGCAGCAACAGCGGCTTTCAGGCGCTGAGGAAGAAGCTCCCGCCCCTGGCCGACAAGAAGCTCCACGGACTGCCCGATAAACCGGCCAGAACGCGGTTCGCCCCCTCGCCCACGGGATATCTCCATCTGGGATCATTGAGGACTGCACTCTTCAACTGGCTCATTGCACGTGCCACCGGCGGTCAGTTCATTATCCGGGTTGAAGATACGGACCGGGTACGTTAGAAGCTGCTGTTGAGTGAAATCAAGGAACCATCCGCTAACGTCACAAAAAACAAAAAGACTCGCATCGTCGACGATGCCGTTCAGCGTCTCCTGGCAGACCTGAAGTGGGCGGAACTAAACTGGGATGAAGGCCCTGATATCGGGGGACCATACGGACCTTATGAACAAGTACTTCGCTCTTCTCCCTCCTCTTACCAGTGTCACACCACTCTAACACGTCGATTCAGTCAAAACGTCTGGATTACTACAAAAAGTACATTGCCGAGCTTCTAGACGCAGGCAAAGCCTATCGCTGCTTTTGCACGGCGCATGACCTCGAGCGTCACAAACAGCAGTCCCTCGACGAGGGCGGCTCGGCGCACTACCCGGGCACCTGCCGGAGCCTCCCGCCGTCCCAGGCCGAGCGGCGCGCCGCCAACGGCGAGACGCACGTCGTGCGCTTCCGCAGCGAGGGCCGCCCTTCCTTCGTGGACAAGGTGTACGGAAACTACCAGAAGAACGAGGACGAGGACGACTTCATCCTCATCAAGAGCGACGGGTACCCGACGTACCACTTTGCCAATGTCGTCGACGATCACCTCATGGAGATTACCCACGTCATCCGTGGTGCTGTGCGTTTCTCCTCCCTCTCTTCTTACCCCTGAAAACCGTGTCTATTCGCTATCAGGTAAACCTCCAAGACATATAAGTGTAGCTCACACCAGATAACAGGAATGGCTCATCTCCACGCCAAAACACATTGCTCTCTACGATGCCTTCAAATGGGAAGCCCCGACGTTCGCCCATGCTGGCCTTCTCTGCGCCCAGAACGGCGAGAAGCTCAGCAAGCGCAACCACGACATTGACATCTCCTCGTATCGTGACAAGGGCATCCTCCCCTCCGCGCTCAACAATTGGCTTGCGCTGCTGGGCTGGAGCATGAACGAGAAGGACCTCGCAAAGGGGGGCGAGGTGTTCTACACCACGAGCGATCTGGCCGAGAAGGTAAGAGTCTCTCATCTCATATTAGCCCCCTTCGTTGCATCAGTTTTGCTTGGCTTTGCGAATCAATGAACACAGACTTACACGCTGCGAATAGTTCTCCCTGAGATTCACAAAGGGCAACATCAAGACCAACCCGGACAAGCTCGTCGTCTTCCAGCGCAAACACCTAACCCACCGCCTCCGCGAAGAGAACCCCGACGAAGAGCTCCTAAAACAGGCCCTCCTCCCGCCGACAACCAATCTCCTCGAGCACATCTCGTCTCTCCTCCAGTCTTCTCCTCCTCCTTCCATCGAGGCCGAGACTCATCCTCCATCCGCCTCCGCTTCCACCACAAACACAGTCCTCACCTCCCCAACAAACCAAAAACACTTCTTCCTAACAAAAGACTTCACAACCCTAACCCCCCTCCTCGCCTCCCCCTCGACATCTCCGTCCCACCTCCTCGACATCTACCGCACCCTAGCCCTCGACTCTCCGATAGACCCAGTCGACCTCGTCCACGAACACCCCTCCCTCTTCCTCCGCCCCTCCCCGCAATCCTACGCCCGCTCCCTCGAGAACCTCTCCCTCCCCGACACCACCGCGTCACCCCACGCCCTCCTCCAGGACCTCCACGCCTCCCTCCGCGACGTCCACGAGCTCGACTGGAACCCGGACAGGCTCCAGGCCGCCGTCAACGATTTTGCCAGTCGCAACGCCGACTCAGTCGACCCCGAGAAGCCCGCCAAGCCCGTCAACAAGGCCACCTACGCGCTGCTGCGGCTCGTGCTCACGGGCGACCACAACCGCGGCGCCAAGCCTGCCAAGCTGCAGCTCGCGCTCTTGGGCCGGGCTGAGACGATGGCTAGGTTCGAGCTTTGCCTCGAGCAGTGAGAGAAAATGCAATCCCTCCCTAGTGAAAGAATAGAAGATGGTGGGTGGGGACCTTTCGCTCCCAAAGGGGGCAGCAAACAGGGGCAATCTCAGCATCGGAGAGATTTCTCCATTTCCATGCTTGGACTGTGTGCAACAAAGGAACCTTTAAACCTTCTCTGCCAGCGTCGGAGAATAGAAGTGCCTCGTTCTATTGTGGGGGAGGAAGTCTGGGGTTTTGGTCGTTGCGCGCGCGCGCGGAGAAGCTTAGTTCTCAGGTCTATGAGATTCTAGCGTGACTGTGGTTTTGTACGATATATGTGGGTTGATGGAGTGTATGTGGGTGTATACTGCGCGGCTGTTTCGTCTGGAAGTAATATTTTCTGCCCGTCCCAGGCTTTAAATCGGAAAAGAAAAATTACCATGCTTGCTGGTCTTGTTGTCCATGCTCAAAGCTTCGCGAATCAGGTGCTCGACCCAACTCTACTATGTCCACGTGAGCTGGCCCGATTGGATTCGGCCATGGACTGTACAGTCCGAAAAATTTGACGTCATTGGTGAGCGATACTCAGTGGGAGAGTCTTATAGAGAAGAACGTTGGGTCCAATTTGAGCTCATCTGCCTATACCTCACGTAACCCCTTTACGCAGATGATGATATTTACCACCGTCGTCCCTGAATCTCATAGCTTCACAGAAGCTTACAGTCACACAAGGTCGTTCACATATATATAGAAGTAGTGAGCAATGATAGTTGCATTAAGGTTGGTGTTGCAGGCCTCTCAAAGATCTCGTAGATGATGGACAGGATCTCGTAACAAGACAGTGTAGATGAGGTAGAAATTATATCGGAAAAGGAGAGATGGTAAACCGTAGGGGAATACAAAAGTGTTGTCGCCACACCAATCGCCTCCGAACTGTTCCGTTTTCTAAACAATGCAACGCTATGATCATATCGTTCGCGGCCGTGGTGTTGCCATTGAGCCAGCTCTGCTTGGCTCTGTCTCTCGAACTATCCTCCTCTTTTACTCTCCGCCGTTTTAGACGCCCTGTCTACAACCAATCCATCCGTAAATGCAGCAAAAAATAGTATAAAAAGTGTTTACTAGATGAAGGAAAGGTTGCAGAGCTCAGGGCGAGCAGATTGTTGGTCATTACGTCGTCATAGGCTTGGTTGGGGTATAATCGTCTACATAATTTCTTGGACCCAGATCTGTAGGTTCGGTCAGTTGTATATCCTGGAGATAGTGCAATTGTTTGTGGTGATGCTTACCTCCATCTTGCCGATATCCTGCCTCGTTTTCCTTGCTTGGCTCTTGACGCTCATGATCGCCATGTCCAAATCATCTTGGTCACCCATGGTGATCATATCGCCATTTGGCACATCCTCGTCGCGGATCTTGATCTTGAATCTTCGTCGAAGACCAAACTTCTCACGAATGCGGTCAACAAAGTCGGGGAACTCGACTGCTGCGCCAACCATGATGTATCGAACATCCTCAGCGTGCACCTTGACACGGATCTTGCGGACTTCGGGTCTCCTTGAACCACCACGGGAGGACATTGAGTTCGTGCCTGGGCGTCTGTTGTTGTTGGAAACCATCTCAAAGTCACCCTCATCGAAGGAGCCGTAATCAGAGCCATCGTCTTCCTCGTCCATATACCGCTGGGGCTGGCGGCGGGAGGCTTGGCGGCTGGTTCTTGTACTGTTGCCACCACCGCCGCTCTGGTACATGTCGTAAAGCTCATCAGGGTAGGCGTCCTCGGCATCTTCATCAGCAGGCCGGCCGCGCATCTGCAAGTCGCGTCTCGAGTATCCTCTGCTAGGAGTTGCCGACCGTGACTCGGATCTCATCATGGGCGGAGGTCCTCTGCGGTCGTTGGGGCTGCTCGTCTTTTGGTACCGTTCGTTGGGTCTGGAGTTCTCGATGTTCAACTTCGCAAGCATCGGTTTGGGTCCATTACGGACGGATTGTCCACGGGACATGGTACCGCCATTATTGGCCTCGACCTGGTCCGGGGGAGGGGTAGGAGGGAAGACACCGCGGCCGTTGGGCGGCTCGGACTGTTGTCTTCTAGAGGCCAGGCCAGGTTTGACTAGGTTGGTTGCAGCGAAGGAAATATTGTCAGCTGGTCTGTCGTCCTTGACGTCGTTCTTGCCGGCCTGTAAACCAAGAAGTCTGTGGTTAGCAAATGGATTCCCATAAAAGCTGATTGGATTGGGAACCAATCTGCCTACATTCTTGATCTCGGACCCGGCAAAGCCTGTGAAGGCGTTCGCGCGATCGGAGGCGGCGACTAGCCTAGCCTTTCCAAGGTAGTCCTTCGTCTTGAGGTTGCGAACCTTTGCTTCGTTCGGTCGATACACAACACCGACGGGAATCGAGAAAACAGTGTATCCCTTGAGAAATTGTGAGCATTGTACACAGTTCGGCTCGGTGTCTTCCTTACCTCTGCCTCCTCACGAATCGCCTCATCGATAACGTTGTGGTCCTCTACCACCTTCTCCTTGACAGCGTACGACAGATCCTGCATACCAGCATCTTTCTGTTGCAGGTAGATGTAGCAGAGACCTCTGTTGAAGAGCACCTCGCAAGAGTAGAGCTTGAAGAGCAGACCCAATTGGGCGTAGTCGATCATGGTGTTTCCTCGCAGGTAGAGAAGAGTGTCATTGAAGTTGGCCAATGCCTCTTCGAAATCGCCGAGCAGGAAGTTTGAGACGCCCTGCTGGAAGTAGGCGACAGCGAGGTACTGGTCGAGCTTGATTGCTCGTTGGTAACATTCGACCTGGTGTTTCCACGTTAGTGCCAAGACCTCGGTGTTAGGTTCGGAGACGACGCACAGCTTTCTCGTGCTCTCCCAAAGTGGCGTGAATAACACCCATGTTGAAGAGAATTTTTGATGTGTCGGAGATCCTCTCAAAATCCTTGAGGGCTTCATCGAATTCATTGTTGTCGTACCGGCCCAAGGCCGACACCCACGTTTCTATTTCCTGTGGTAAGAGACAGTTGTGGTCAGTGACATGTTCAACGGTCTACCCATTTCGGGTTGTCGGGTGTTGCAGGTTGGGCGACTGGTAATCGCTCTCTCCGACGCAAGCACGTACCTGCTTCAATGACATTTTGTCGCCAGGCCAGAGTTATCGAAATACCAAATCCAAATCGCGAGCCGAGAAATTGCGCAAGCAGACGATTGCTGCTGCGGTCGAAAAATCGTTGACGGACAGGATTTGAGGGAGAAAAGGGTATCGTGGGGAACTGCGATGCGGACGTGGACAACGGCGGCTGAAGACGACGACGACTGCTGCAGGAAAGAAAGCCAAAAAAGCGACCCAGACCTGAACAGCAACAACAAAGTGCGCCGCGGGCGGCTAGAGAGGGTCCTCAGGGCTTATTTAGGGAGATGGCTGGCGGTCTGTCGACCGTGCGGTGCTCGGCGCCACTGAAATGACGGTTGGAGTGTTACCCCCGCTTCCAATGAGCCAGAAGCTGCAAATGGGGTACGCTTCGGACTTGGGCGACGAGCTGGAGATCTTGGCGCGTGGCGGGTACACCAGGGATCGATACCTGGCCCCGTCTAGCGATTTGCCGAAAGCTTCTGCAAGAACCGCCGATGCGATGGCGGGGAGGAGACAGAAGCGAAAAAGAGGGTTTATCCAACTGTAGGATAAACTCGACGTTGTAACTTGATAGAGTTGCTCTTTTCTCGTTCCTGGCCAGCAGAAGCAGATGCCAAAAGTAGGACGGTGTTTCGGGTTTGTGTACGTTGTGCGTCGAAAGACGGATTAAGTTGTCGGGGGGAGGATGGGATGGCCCTTTTTGGCTGTGTGTCCTGGTTCCTGTGGAGGTGGTGGTGGGTGGATGGACAAGGCCGCAGTAATATGTATGTAAGTCGGACTAGGCGCCAAAATGGGGGGGGGGGGATCCGAAGCCAGTCCGTCCTGTATTATCAAAGTCTGGGCTCTCTTCCTGTTCAGTTCTACTATTTCGAGAACGAGACCAAGATCAAAGAATCCGTGCTCTTTCTTATCTGCCTGCTTGTGACGACGAAGACTGTGACTGTGTTGCGTATGTGCGTGTGCCGAGGGCGAGGTGACCAGAGGTGACCAGATACCAAAGACTGCCTAAGCCTGCGTCGTTCGGCGCGGGTCCTCTCTCGGGTTAGAATCGTGCGTTGATTAGAGTCGGAACCTCGGACGGTCGTTCGACTGTGGGAAGCTTGCGTGTGAGTTGCGGGTCAGAAAGGACAGTCTCGAGGTCGGTTTGTCTTCGCTTCGCGAGTTCCAACTTTGGGAACGGATGTGGGAAGCAAGTGTGATGTGGACAAGAATAAAAGTGATGGAATGACCAGACTTGCAGCCGGGCTTGAGGAAAGGAATGGGAATGAATGGATGGAGGACGAAAAGCCGGCGCCTACAGAAAGGAGGGTAGAGAAAATAGAGTCGAGTCGGTGCTTGCAGCGAGGGACCAAGGGGGACTTGACTGGTCGGGTTGTGGGCCGCGAGACTGGGTGTATATCATGCAAGGTGCTCATCAGTGATTGATATTCCAACTCGATTCTCAGTCAGGAAACGCTTAGGATGCCTGTGCTCCGGTGCTCGTCCAGTTGCGAGTCGCAGGGGGATCCAAGGGGGTTGTTCTTCTCGCTGGTCGAGTATCGACACTGAAAGGGGGGGTGTAGAGAGGGCCCGGAACAAGTGGCTTGGGCACCTCTGTGGATGAAGGGGGCGTGTATCTTGCTGCAACAGAATTCCGGGTGTCTTTGGGTCGGCTTTCGCACGCCCAGCCTGGGTTTGGGGCAGAGACGAATTGTGCAACCGATCTTGGCCATTACAGGATCTGCCTCGGTGACAAAACGTGAACTTGTGTTCGAGGTGAGTACAGACTGTACACGACGGATATAGCCTTCCAGAGGCATACGGAGTACAGAGCACACAGTTGTGACTTGTGAGATAGCTCGGCGCCAAAGAGATCATCTCCCGTCTGTCGACTTTTCCCAAGACGTCGTCCCAGAACACTTTAAGCAGCCACGCAGATCCATCTTTGGATATTCGACAAGGTATTTCGTTCGGCGGGAGGAAACAAAATTGTCTAAATTGAGTGGTAGAATCAAGTGTTTTCTCTTGAAATCGAACCACTTTGCATATCTCGTCGCCAGATACTGGGTTGTGAATATGCTGGACATCGAATGTTGGGTTGGGATCCCCTCGGGCCCTCTGTGCCTCGTCTTGGAGGAGCCGCCCCTAGTTTGTCTGGGCACCCCATCCGACGTCCGTTCCGGGGGGGGGGGGGTGTAAGAGAGCGCCTGGGCAGTGAGTGATGGGCGAGGAGGAAGTCGGAGTTCATGTCATGGCGTCGCGGGTCAGATCGTATACTGCGTTACTTGCGGTAGGCTTGACAAGGGAGTGGCTGTTTTGGACTGTCTGCTTCTCCTGATCCTCCAGGGAGGGACGCTGACGACGATTGACTCTTCTCAGTGTCCCCTCTCCTGTCCCCGTCGAGTGCGTGCCAGCTGGACAAGAGGCAGCGGTCCCTTAACGGCAATGCACTAATGCCGGGTGTCGCAGGCATCGTGCAACCACTGCGAATCAGGGCCTGTCGCTTCCCATGCACGAAGCGTTCCAGCGAATGCGAGATGTGCCTGATTGGCCCCCAGGAATACGGGTCGTGGGCCGGACCTTTGAGCCACTAAGTTGCCAGGGGCCAAGGGCGCGTAGAAGGGTGACTAACGCCGCCTTGATCACAGTTGTAAGTCGTGCTTCTCTTAGCCCCTACTACTGCACAGTAGGTACTCCGTAGTGAACCGTGACTGCAACCCGCAGCTTGCAGCTGTATCACGCCTCGTGGCTGAATATGGAGATGCTGCAGAGGTGATTGCAACTGCAGGGCCGTCCGATCTCGTTCAGTCACCGGGGTTTTTCATCTTAGTTGCTTTTGCGAACCCAAAGAAGAGGTTGAAAAGTGGATGAGGTGTAAGTGCTTGCAGGCCGCCATACTGGAAATGGTCTGCCAAACCAGTCCACTGGAGCTGGGAGAAATGACGTTGGACTGTTTAAAATAGCATCTTTCGAAAGTGCCGTTCTTTGCAGAGTGCATATAGGAGAAGCTAAGCGCCGGTGATATTTTTCTGATTGGGTTGACCCGGTGAACTGGCAACGTTGGCCGCCTCGGTGCGGGTGACATGTCGCCAGTTGGGCAGGCCGACCCGTCCGGACGTTTCCAACCAAAGTTTCTCCGTCCGTCAGATGGTATGCTTCATCATTCATCAACCAAAGCCCAGGTCGAGCAGATTGGCGTCCGTCAAATTGATCAGCCCAGATCGAATCAAGGCGCCGCTATGAAGGAGGCGTGTAGGCCATATATCTGAGCACTAGGCGGTCTTTGTGTTATCGCAATAGGTTGGACTTTGGAGATGGTGGGCTGTCTTTGGACGACGAGGATCGGCAACGGAAACCGAAGGTTGGTGGTACAGAAACTAGAGACCCCTCAGCCCAAGTCAAGACATCTGCGAGACTGCGGCGCAGACATGTAGGTTCGGCAGTCCAGGCTGTATTGGTACGAGTCTAGGACGATGTTCCTGCATGGGGAGTTGCATGCCACGGGACTGGAATTTGCACAAGACGGAGTGAGGTACCGCTCGGTTGATTCTGGCATATCATGGGGCCATCGTGGTGTGACGAGCTGCGTGAAGTTTCTTGCCAGTAGATTGCCCCGATGGCGGGATCTGGCTCGAAGGAGGAGAAGAGGCCGCCAAGGCAGGGAATGGATTCATCGACAGCTTCTTCGCTATTCCCCTTTGTGGTGTCTTGTCCGGGGCATCGCTCATCTCATCCAGTCCTGGTTAGGATTTAGACAACCTTATCTGTAGCGGGTCCACAAGTGGTTCTAGCCGTCCGGATGACCGTCGCTGACTGGCGAAAGGCACTGGCGTCGATATCGGCAGTCGTGTCTGTGCAGTTGTCCAGAGTCGATGCTTAGCCTAGGTTAAATTCGCAATAGTTGATAGAGTAATATTTGTCGGATTGACAGGGAGGGAGGGAGAATGAGTGAAAGAGAGTCGGGGCATCGTGAAGTTGAGGGATCAGGGCCACTCAGCAAGGACCAGGATGCGTCGAGGAGAGACTTGGCTTCAGCCGTCAGCCTTCGCGTGTCGAGTCTAGGCATCCGATACTTGATGGCTCAACGGGCTCAGCCACACGTCGTTGACGTTTGACTAAGAAAGTAGCGTACCTGCCTCGCCTGTGTCCCGTCGGCAGCCACTGCCATCTCAACCCAGCATCCACGCCAGGCGTTCCTTCCTCCCGCCCATCAAAAAGAGGCACATTGTCCAAGTACGTATCTTGCCAAGTGGAGCGTGATCTTGTCGTGGTCGTCCTAGGGAAGGAACAAATAACCTAAGGTAGGTAGGTACCTTACAACAAGTACAGAGTCGAGTCCAGAAGCTGTCTCTCCTTCCGATGCTGAGGATAAGGTAGAAACGATGTAAGACAGCTTACAAACAGCGGACGGTAGCAAGCAACAGCAAGCACGAGCCAGGACCCACGCAGCTTCTTTCAAAAAGAACGAAAAAAGAACAAAAATGCGGCCTCGCAAGAATGACTTGCATCACCAGTGACAAGAGGATCCCTTCTCAGGACAACCCAAAGACCGAAGCCGAAGAGGCCCTTTCCAAGAAACCCCCCAACTACGCATCGCCCTATCGTTATTAGACAGCAAGGTACATTACTGCGTACTTCGTACCCGTGGACCCTAAGGTACGGATAGCCACCGTGACACCCAGCAAAACCATCTCCAACTCTAATTATCCCTGCCAGTCCCAAGTCTCAAGAGTCTGCGAAACTCGCTTGTCCTTCAGGCTGTTTTGGAAGTCCCGTGCTGGCGTCCCCACTGACGTGCTGACTACCTCATATGCAAGGGGGGGCACGCTCGTCTTCTTCTCTATCCGTACCTACCTTACACTATCGTGACGTGCTTGGCTATCATATCAAGTCACGGTAGCGTATCTATACGGTGTAGTAGGTACGGATAGGTGTGTATTCGTACTCAAAGGATCAACACACACACCTGCCAAGGTACCTTGATCTGGGTAAAGGCAGCTTCTGCTGTAACGTTGGCGCAGCTAAGGGCAATGTCACTCTCCACATGCCTTTGGGTGTGGAACGACTTGCGACTCTGCCCAGACCACCAGCCACCTCGCCGCATGAACCAGACGTCAAGCCTACGAACTTCACCTTGTTTTACCACGCAGCATCCGGCCGGGTTTGAGGGGGGGGGGGGGTTCCCTCAATCATCGAGCCGCAGGCCTTGCGTCTCCCGTCTACTGGTCTAGTCTTCTGTTTAGCTGTCTACTGTCTAGGTCTGCCCCTTGGTCTCGATGCGCAAGAATTCGCTTCAACCACATCGCATCTTTGGCCCTAAGGCAAGCCAAGGTGACTCGACACGATGCACTCAACACACAGACATGGCCGCGCCATCGCAGACAGCGGCACCCACTACGCTCCGCTCCGAGTTGCTGCTTGCTCGCCCGTCGACCCTCCACCCTCCTATCTTGCCTTCTCTTCCCAAGTGTCACAAGTCTGGGCATCCCTTTGAACGGATGAATCCACCCGTGACGCGGCAAGATCTACGCTGTCCCCGTCCTTCAATGCGAACCTCCGCGGTCCGAATCCCGCAATGCAAATCTCGAGAGGGAGCTCCGGCAGGCACTTGTCATGTTCACCACCAAACATCGCCCACGGGTCGAGACTCAGCTGTTGCTCGACTCTTGTTTCCTGAACCAGCCTCCTCATCAAACACGTTTGCATCATAAACGTCGTTACACTTTGGCGCAATGGCTTCTTCGTGGCACCCAAGGAGTCCAACTGACTTAGCCTTCTGTCAATATCAGCCTAGACATGTCGTCAACGAACACTTCAACTCCCCTGCCGCCTCCACACCATATCTTTGGGGCTGCCTTACTCAATCTGCACGTACAGTCCACCGCTTCTCGCATCCGATTTCAAGCGTGCCTACCACCTACCTAAGCTAGTTTCAAACTCGGCCATCATCTCCACCCATTGACCCCTTTGCACGTATATGTCGGCCACTTCCCAGTTCCCACTGGCAACTGCAGCATCAGCCTCCTTGTGTAATGCCATCTGCGTACACGCCCTTACTACGGATAGTGGGCCTTATCACGGCAAGGCGGTCCCGGCGCCCCTGCGATCCAGCAAAATAAGGTAGCGCCTCTGGTCCCTGTTCAACTACAACGCGTATTCGTCTCATCTACCACCTGTCACCCGCGCTCCGCCTCCTTCCGGTCTTCGATCGGTGGGGGGAATCTCCCGGAACCGTCGTCAGTGTTTCTTCTAACATGATCTGCATCAAGCCCGACGCTGAAGCCATGTCTTGTTGGTCTCCTCTGGCATAGACCTCTCTCTCCGTTCCCAAGGAACGGATGCTCCATCTCTCTGCTGGCCCCGCTGTCCCATCTGTCCCATCGCCCAGAGACAATCAAGAACTCGGCGGAAAATTCTGACCGAGACAAGCCTTGGGGAGCTTGGCATACAGAGGTTAACTTACACGAGCCTGTGACAACGGATGAAAACCCGCAACCTTACCGAGACCCCAGAGTCCAAGGTAAGTGCCCCCGTCCCGCAACTCCAGGTCCGCGAATCTGTCTACCTAAACGAGAGTCCTTGGACATCATCCTTGGGGTAGGCAGTATGCCAAGGCATTGGAGAGGCTCAGCCTCAGTGTCAAACTCGACCATGGTGCGGTTCTTCGGACTCCTCACACCACAACCACAACACCCCCTGGCATCTTGCCTGTCAGTGTTCTGGAAGCCGTGGCCACCGACCTTGACCCGAGGCCGCAGACGTAGTCCAAAAATCTACGTTCATCGCAAAAATCGTACGATATTGTTTATGGTGGCTGCCACTCCACGTGTGGCTTCTGGTGATCATCATAAAGGCTATCCGGCTCATCAACCGAGCTCCCTAGCAAGAAACACTTAGAAAATATTTCGTTGATTTCATGATCATTCTTTATACATCATCTGATGGCTTCCCGCGAAGTCTACAGCATACCCTTTTCGACCTCGTCCTTTCTCTCCTCCCACAGCGTCTTGCCGGTGCATGAACAGACCGTCTTATCATTGTCCCACACGCCGGCACTCCTGGCAATCACGCCGACTAACGTGTCCGGGTCATTTTTCAACGCCCCTGCAGACTCATCTTGTCTCGAGACGACCATGGCATGGCCAATAACTTCCCAGATTTGAAAGGGTTTGTCGAGATAGGCGCTGCCTCTGCCATCCTTGCCAACGTCGAAGACGCCCAAGAACCCCTTGGCGGCGGCGGCGGCAGCGGCATCTTCACTGCCTTCCGACCACACAGGGCCCGTCGATGATGCGCCCTCTGCCAGGTTACCGTACTGACGGATTGTAGCTCGGTATGAGCCGGGGGCAACGCCGCGTAGCGTCATGTCGATCAGAGTTGTAGTCGGGGAGACCTGCACCATTCTAGCCAGGCCCCTGACCTCTCGGTCTCGCTGCTCATTCAACTTTGAAGATGCATCTTCTGCATGGTAAAAAGACTCGAGGATGCTTACAGCCGCGCCTAAGGAGATGTGGTGAGTCAGCGGTCAGATGAAGTCCGGTGTTCCCAGGGAAGCGAGTTTAAACGACGACGATAACAACCCAAAACTTCTCCATCTGCCGACACTAGTGCCGGTGTGACAAGACAAGTTGGGTGGTATCAGGAAACAACTTAATGTCCGCCAAGGGGTTACAGGAAATGCGGACAAGAAAGTTGGACTTGGATGACGAGAAGAAAAAAAAGCCAAGAAGGGAAAGAAGAGGCTTCAGTTGACCTACTGTTTGACCCTCCCGAGCCTCGCAGGATGGCGTCCCTCCCCGTGGCTTGGATGGCGTCAACAATTGTTGATGGTGCGGCTGCAAAACGTCGCCAAGAGTGTTAGCGGCAGGTACATTCTTTCTTATTCAACTTTCAAACGGTAAGGCGTTCAATCTCTTGAGTCTATCCATCCCCCATGACAGGTTGTAAGGCAGCGAATACAATCTTGAGAAGATCAACAAGATGGCGCCGTCAAAACGGCAAGCTTGGGAAGCCTCAAAGCATCGTGTGTGGGACACACAACAGCAAAGCCCGAATGGGTGTAAGACAGGGAAGGGGGTGTGTGTGTGGATGGAGAAGGGATCAACAGCCATGAGCCGCAAGGAGGATGAAAGTGAAAACGGGAAAAGAAAAGAAAAAAAAACTTTCAGAGTTTGCGGCAGAAGACGACGTACCTGTGCCCTCGACGGAAAGCAATTGGTCCTTCAAATTGGCCTCGACCTTGGTGATACCCCCGAGCTTGTACAACGAGTCTGAAACGTCCTTGACGCAGCTGTCACATGTCATGGGTACGGCGAAAACGGTCTAGTGTTGGATTTTCAGACGTTTCATTAGCCATTTGATCCAGTTGAGCCATTACACCCCCATGACTGTGTTGTAGATTTGGGTACTTGAACAGGTGAAAAAGGCAATGGGTAGTAAATGGGCAAATGATGAAGCCCGTGTATGTGCGTGCGGAGGAGAAATGGACCCTCATACGCATATGTCCCTCTACCCAGTTGCGTGCGTCTCGACGGGACGGTACGGACAGACGACGGAGCGAGCGAGAATGAAGAAACAAGAAGAGTCCCCTCGGCCAGGTCCCGTGTCCGTGACGGAGACTTTGAGGGGCGGGTGGACTGCCTGACTGACTGACTGGGTGCCGGGCAAAGCGGGAAGAGAGGACCAGACTGGAGGGCAGGCATAGAGAGAAAGACAGAGAAACGGTGATGAGAACTCACCTGAAAAGGATATGAGACGGTCATGGTGAAGGGTCGTCTGCTTGGCTGCAGCGGGCTTCGTAGTAGAGAGCGGTAGTTGTGGATGAAGTCGGGGAGGCAGTAGAGCATGCTCTGTCCTTGTTTGGACCCTTCGCAATATTGCTGTTGTTGAGATGAAGAAGTCGTGCTTTGGGTTTCCCGTTCCTAAAATAAATAGAGAGAGAGAGGAGTTGTCGTTTTCGGGAAAAAAGAGCCCCAGGGGATGTTGGTTTGTCGCGGGGTTGACTCTGAATCTTCCTCCCACTTTCACACCTCAGAATCCCGAAATTCGAGATTGTTATTGCTAGTCGTGAATGTGACTCAAGTCGTGTTCAACTGCGGTACCAATGGGATGATTTGTGCCGGCATATGCGGGTTTAATACTCATGGCCCATCGTGGAGTAAAGTTGTCTGTGAATATGGGCTTGCTTTGAAATCGTGCTGCCCCTCCTCCCTCCCACTCACGGCCAGCGGACAGCGACCACGGCGCAATTGGATCGCATCGCCTCATTGCTTTCCGTCGTCTTCTGCCCCGCCATGAGAACGCTCGGGCCAATTTTTGAAGAGCATCGGCCCCAAAGTCGGCGCTCGGCCGCTGTAGCTGGGAGCCGCTCCATCAGCTGGCGCCATCTGGTGGTGCCAGGACGCTTTACCGAAGCTCCAGCTGATGGGATCTTATCATTATCATCACGTGAGGACGCTCCCGGCTCCAAAATTTTGGGAGAAGCTCAGGGTCAGCCTATTGAATGGAGATCGCCAACGAAGCCTTAGAACGCGTGACGACGACATTCCTCCCGAGATCCGACGACGACGCTTATTGCTGGCCTGCTCGTTGCCAGAACCGTCCGATTGACCAACTCGGTCCGCGAAATACCAAACCGATCGTGACCGTCGGCTGAGGCGGCCGGCCCAGAAAAACACATTTCAAGATGTCGCAAACCATCGGCCTGGTGAGCTTTCCCCTTTCCCAGCCTCCGCAATCATATACACGTCTCTCCATGTCCCCCGAGAGCTATCGTAACGACCAGCGTAGCTAATCCAATGTCCCCAACTCCCCAGACGCGCCTCTCCTACTCCCGAGTATGGCACCAAATCTCCGCCTCGGCGCCCCATGAGATCCTCTCGACCCAGCCGGGCGTCACCCCGCCCTCGCTGGGCCGCCTGGCCAGCCGCATCGCCGTGCTGCTGATGGGCAAGCACAAGCCGACCTGGGACCCGTCGACGGACTGCGGCGACTACGTGGTGGTGACGGACTGCGCGGCGCTGCACGTGACGGGACGCAAGAAGTGGCAGAAGACGTACTACCGACACAACACCCGTCCGGGATCCCTCAGGCAGGTGACGATGGACGTGTTGATGGAGAAGCACGGCGGTGCTGAAGTGCTGCGTAAGGCGGTGAGCGGCATGTTGCCTAAGAATAGGCTGCGGGAGAAGAGGCTTGCGAGGCTCAAGGCTTTCGAGGGGGAGGCGCATCCGTATAAGCAGAATGTTATCCGGTTTGGGGATGTTCCTGTGGGAAAGACTGGGTGGGAGGAGCAGATTAAGGCGATTCGGGAGGCGGATTCGCAGAGGATATGAGAGGGGTTTTGCTGTTGACTCTTCATGAGGTGCGACGGTTGTAAAGGGGTGATGGAAGGGGAAGGCACGGGCGAGGTGTAAAGTAAAGCCGTCTTGAGTCGGCGTGTATATTCTGTACGAATACGGGCATTCTCAAAAGTTTTGAAGTCCAATGACTCTCTACAATGTGGCGGTGTTTCTGATCGAGTGCTGGACTATGTCTGTCGTTGATGTGATCTGGCTGTTGGGATTAGGAGCTCTGCCTGACATGTGTAAGGCGATCCCCTGGAGACCTCTGAGGCTTTTGAAAGACTTCGTACCCGTTTCAATGGGTGTCGAGAATTTTGCTGGTCGAACATTGGCAGTTTCTGAAGTCTCCATATAGGCGAGAAGAGGAGTACCCGGAGGGGGGGGGGAAGGAGCAAAATACGTGCTGTGTAAGGGAACCTGCTGCTATTCTTTGTAGACTACGTGTGCTCCGGCAAGGGTGACGATGGTAACAGTATGAAGATTTGATGTATCGATTTTCTACTTCTCACGTTGTTTGAGATCTTGGGTGGCAGTGACCAGAATCGTTCTTGAGTTCTATTGCAGATAGACACGAGCTGTACTAGCTAAACCAATGCTGTTGATACATCCATTTGTGTTTATCCATTGTTGTTACTGGTACAGATTACCTATAATTGCCGTGATCAACGAAGTGCATCCAAAATCCATGATATATATGTGTGAAGACGCGTCGCCATCAAAGTTCAGAACCTCTGCGGTTGAGGAAGGCCGCCTCCGACCTTTGCGGCCGACCTCTGCGGTCGACCTTTCCGGCCACCGCCGCCGCGGCAGCTTGCCCATCCCGAATTGCATGGCGGTTTTCGTATCGAAATCACCATATTGAGTTGAGCGCGTGCTTGGGGCACATTGCGCGTATTGTGTAATTAAAAAAGTGTACCGTATCGTGTGATTTCCCTTGAAAGCCTGATCCCATTAAGGTCGATCTTTTGCGCCTGTAAAGCCGGAAAAAAACCACCACATATGTGTGAAGACTTGACGGAAATGCTCACTGTCTTGAGCTTATACTCGGCTTGGAGCAGAAGAGAAGAATACTCATCACGATACCCGTCTCAAATAGAAACGGAAACAAATTAACTATTCAAGTTTAATTGTCATTTGAGGAGCAGGATACAGAATGAGGAAGATCACTGAGAAGCGAGATACCCTTTCGCCTTTCCACCTTTTCGAGAAACCTGATATGTTATCATGGGTGGCTTCATCAAAGCTCGCCGTCTTGCCCATATTCTAGGATCAGTTCCAACGCTAGACGACGGTATCACTCAAGTCACAGCAAATCCTCTTGCAGAAGACAAATTTGGATGGGTTATCATATTCTAAGTCATTGCTCATTATTACTATAAAAGAACACCCGGCCAGGCTTGACCAGGTCATGGACGCCGGTAAATGCAAGTGGCGAATCTCGTTGGATTCTCATAAGAAAGAAAGCATCTTCTCTCGTCCTCAGTCTACAACCCCTCATCTCACTCGCTCAATCCACTCGCCAACTCACCCAAAGCTCGCGCCTACAACTTGGCGGTCTCGGGCTTGCGGGCGACCTCGCACTTGATGAGGCCGTTGGGACCAGACTGCGGCGCGTAGACCTCAGCGTCCTTGCCCGTGTTCTTGAGCCCCTTGTGCCAGCTGAGGTCGATCTCAAAGTAGTGCTTGTTGGGCAGGGAGTAGGTGGCCGTCAGGGTCTCGGGCACGGCGGCGAGGATCTGCTCGCACATCTTGTACATTGTGTTTTGCACGCTGGCGCTCTCGTCCTCGGCAAAGGTCTTCATGGTGATGTCGCGGGCGGCGCGCCACGCGGGGTCGAACTTGGGCACGGCGGCGCGGACGGCGGCCAGGTCCGGGAACTTCCAGGTCCAGGCGGCGTCGACGTCGGTGGACAGAATACGGTCCCAGGTCTCGGGGAGGGTGGTGTACTCGTCGCGGACGAAGCCGTGGAAGGCGGAGCCGGTGGACTTTAAGACGGTGAGCTTCTGGATGGCGCTGGTGAGGGCGATGCCGTCCTTGCGGGAGATGCGGGCCTCGACGTTGCGGGTCTCCTCGCCGTCGCGGAAGAAGGAGTGCGGGTGCGGCTTGCCGTCGACGGTCATGCGGGTCCAGCGGTGCTGGATGATTTTGACGTTGGCGGTGTGGATGTGGGCGTACGTCTCGAGGAAGTGGGCGCCGAGGATGGAAGCGAAGAGCTCCGGGGGGTTGACGGGGTTCTCCTTGGCCTTGATGTAGGTGGTGTTCTTGATGGAGTCGGTGGCGACGACGACGCTGTTGTCGGCGACTGTGTACGAGGTCTCGATCTCGCCCTCGAGGAGGCAGCAGACGGTCATCTCGGTGACGGTCTGGACGTTGCCGTTCTTCTCGACCTTGTAGACGCGGACGTTGTCCTTGCCGTAGCGGGCGGAGGCGAGGTAGGCGGCCATTGTGAATATGTGTGTGTGTGTGTGTGTAGGGGTGGGTTTGCGAGGTTTGGAAATGGGAAAGTGAACACAACGTAGGGGGTTTGGGGTATCACGGATGAGATTGATGGTATCGCAAGGACGAGATAAGATGAGATGTCGTTGTGAGATGAAGGTCGAGGATGGGAGCAAGGTGCCAAGTGGTTCGAGCTCAAGAGAGACTGCAAGCAAGCACTGATAAGGAAGTGGTTGTTGGTTGTTTGAGGGTGATGAGACAGAGGACAAGAGCAAGGTCACAAGAAAAGAGGTCAAAGGGGGCAGGATAGGTTTTATATCAACATCCAAGAGAAGAAAATGGTTGAGGTTCTCACTCTCAGATTAGCTTCGTTGGACGTCACCCACCACAGACAAGAGCCGGGCCGGAGATACACCAGCAAGCAGCACAGATAGCGTAGTCGCGTCTTGAATCGGCACGCAATGTTTGCGCTGTGCAAGCATGAAAGCTTCTGCTTGGAGGTACTAGGTATTGGGTGCTGGCATGTACGTACTGTGTAAGGGTGGCCCCGCGGGTCGGGGGTGCCAGGGCGGCAGGGCCCAATGGCCTGGCCGAACTGGCCCGATCGCTTGATAGGGTCCGGCTGCCGTGGGGTAGAATGGTCTTATTGGAGCTGGGTGGATCCCCCGGAGCCCGCCGATGCCCTTTGGACGCTGGGCAGGCAATTCGCCGCATGCAGCCGCTGTCTCCCTACGGCTGTCTGCGCCAGGGCGGGACCGACGAGAGACGCTCTGAGCCGTACATGCTATTTGGTAAAGGAGGTACCTCAGCTCCACGGAGCAAACGCCTCTAGCCTCTAGGGCTTTGAAAAAGAAGGAAAAGAAGACGAGAGGCGGCAAGTTCTGCCGTGACTAGCTACCGTAGGCGGTAGTTGATTTTGCACTTCTTTTTCCAGGGTCCATCTCTACGGGACCAATGAAGACTCGATGAGATCAAAGGATCTTACAGAGCCGCAGATGCTCGTGATGTACCTTGGGTGCTGGACCTCCAGTGGCCGGCTCCGCGTAAGGGCAGATATTTCATACAATGATGGAGAATGTACATGAACGCTTCGCAACCAACATGGGAACATCAAGAAATCCACACATCATGCAAGCCGTTTCTCTCAAAGCCCGTTGCTGTGCCGCCGCTCTCCGACCTGATGTGAGGTCGAGGTGAAGTGAGATGAGGTGATGCGAGGTGAGGTTTGGCCAAGGACGGGCGCGCGAAGGAACCGGGGGCCCCGCCATTTCGGGACTGTGGATATTAGACCGAAAGGCCGAAGATGCAAATCCCGTAGTGAGTGACTGATTCTGACAGAATCATTTCTGTCCATTATGTCTTGCTGTGAGAATGATGGAAATGTTTGGTTGGTAGTCGGCCCCTCGATCCTCGGCGTTGGTTCCTATCTCCCGCCACGAGTACTGGCAAGCCGCAAATCTGTTTGACACGGAGAGAGGTGGATGTCTCCGAGGCATCGAATGACTGCGGATGGGGGAGCCGGCCGCGTTTCAGCATTGGTAGTGGCCGTTGGTGCTGTGGCACAAGCAGCTTCAGACGGCAAGGGATTTCCTCGGGACCGTGGGTAGGATGGTCCATGATGAACTTCCATGGGCAAAATTTTCTTTTCTCTCTCTCTCTCTCTCTCTCTCTCTCTCTCTCTCTCTCTATGAAATACGAATGAGGTACGGAGATGGGCTCGTTCGAGACTGACTAGTCTTTTCAGGTTCGTTCAAATAAAAGCTGGGTCGTCAATCGAAGCCATCGTCGACAGCTACTTGCCAATGAAGTAGGCTCTCGTTTGAGGTCACGCACACCATGCTTGGGGACAGTTTGACGGGAATTATGAGGTTGCCCCAGCTGTCGTGGCCTAACTTGGGCGATCATTCTGGTAAGATGTTGGAGGTCGATGGTCGTTGATCGTCGAATGTCAAAGTTGGACTGGGTGGTGCCAAGAGATGCACCTGTATGCGTACAGATAATGGGGTCAAGGTTTCGTACCTAAGTATCTTACCTGGGGCTTATCGACAGCATGCCTACCTATCTTATCCAGGACGATGTACCACTTCAGCAGACGTATCGTGAGAAGGTAGCTAGGAATAGTAGGCATAGAGACTGCTGCAGCTGATGGCAACGTTCCTATTGGCTTCCCAGGCAGTCCTCTTACCGTCTGAGCCAAGCATAACGAGGCATGGTCCCCTATCTGAGCAAGTACTTGCACTCGACATCTTTCAAGGTCACCAAAGGGGAGAGAGACATGGTCCAAGCTTTCGGTGAGGGGTGAAGTGACCAGGAAGCGGGGCTGCTAATGGAAGGCTGCTTCCTTCCGCGTTACGGCGCATGCAGCAGCCAGTACCTTGGCCCCAGCAGCAGTAGAAGGAAGCGAAGGAGAAAGAGCGCATTGAGAGGGCAAGTTAGGTTTAATCATCAATTCTTTACAGGTACTCGGACAAACGTGCTTGATGATGAGAGACCTTAGACAGGCAGAAGCTGAGGTGTGTTGTACACGTGATCTCAAGTTACTTAGCATCAGCATTGAAGATAGATGATGAATGAGGTGAGATGGACTTGGCTGAGTGCGTGCATGGACGAGGCCCGACTCCAACAGTCTGAACCCGAACAATGGACTTGGGGCTGCCAAATCCGTACACACCTGAGCTGGAAAGTACTTTCAACCAACCTAACAGCCTACCGTCCCATTGCCTATTCCTTCCTACCTTGACAATCCCCAAGCCATACCTCGAATTTCTCACCTTTCTTCACCTCATTTGACGTCACCGCAGAGCTGGCCAGATACCTTCAGAGGCGAGCTGACGCGGACGCTGCTTACCCTGTCCTGAGAATCAGAGGTGCACTGAAGAGCTTGGACAGAAGAGAACCTCGCAACTTCGCGGCAGCTGTGACCGTGACACTGCACCACCTTGAGAAACCACCCCTGAACACCACCCACCTCAGACAACCAGTATCAGTGCCTTTTGCGGTCCATCCACGGGTGACATTGGCAGCAACCATACCTATACAGGCTGCGAGTGCGCAACCGTACCCGACTGTTAACACCACTGAACCACGCCCGCGGCAGCAACCCATGCGCATCCAGGTCCACTTCTGAAGCTGTGAGGACCAGGCTCAGTTGTTATCCGGCGACCGAGTACGCAGTACCTTACTCTACCGTCAACTGTGGGCCGCGAACGAGCACACGGCTGGAACGCCGCAGCACCACGCAATAGTCGAGACAACGACAACGGCGACGACTGCTTCCACTAGAACTCATCATCGATCGCGAACAACCCAAAGGCACAGATATCTCGACCGACCTCAAGCGACACCGCTATCGGGAACACCTACAACGGCTGGAACCTGCCAAGTTTCCCTACGAACGACCCTTTCTGATGCGCCAATCGCATATCCTCAGCATTAAACTCCCATCGCATCTCCACTCGGACTGACGTCCTGCCCTGCTCTTGGCGTGGCTCTGCGGGTGGCCGACCAACTTCGCCCATCTGCGCACCCAACTGCCTGCGACTCGAACATTCGCCCGATCAAAGCCTGCTCCTCCTCACCTCTCGCGCCATATTTCGACCGCCTGCAAATTTAAGAATTGTCCGAACCTCGATTCGAAACTCGTTACCCACCTACCGCGACAGAGCCTCAAGCAATCGACGACAGTCCTTTACTCCACGCGGACGAACCCCGACCACGACTACCCAACCCCTGATACCCCGATAGCGGATTTCTTTAAACAAATCAGTATTGAAATAACAGTCGCCCGAATGCCAGAACCTCCGGAGAAGCCCCGTAGCAAGGTGGTAACATAGAGAGGCATCGCCAAGATGCTGAGCGCCTCCGGACAGTCTCAAAAGGCGCTGTCGCCTCAACAGTCGGCATCGAGCGCCAATACCCTCAATCCACGTCCGAGTTTCGAACGCATAGAGAGCACCGGCGGCCTCCAGCCGCCATCCGCCTCTGTCAATGGATCGAGAAGTCTGGGCGCCTCGGGTGTCAGCTTCGGACCCCGAGGCTCTTCCCTCAACCCCTCAATCGCCCCTGGGAGCTTTAGTTCTGAGCTGCGCAGCCAGATGATGCCATCTCGCTCTGGCTCCCGAGGCGACATCTACAGCATCGATAAGGTCGACGAGGAAGATCCCGCCACGGCTGCAGAACAGACCCTAGCCATTCTCAAGGAACAGCTGAATCGAGAGATGAAGATCAAGGACGGAAGTGAGAACATGCTGGAAGCCTTGAACGCCAAAAAAGCAAAGCAAACCAAGGAACAGAGGGCCAAGGTCGAAGCAGAGCTGAACGCATCCAACCAGCGCATCAAGAATCTGCGGCAGAAGATTACAGACGCTTCGAGATTCAAGGCGACTCCTACCACACCCACAAGACAAAGGACAAATGAACCACTGTTTTCTTCTGCCAACAATGGCATGCGCTCACCTCCCAGCGCCTCTCGCAGTGGCGCTGGTTCGGACAATGAAGAGACGGCCGAGCAGTCACCAACCTTCCTCCTGGCTGAGTTGCTCCAAGCCCTTGAGCAGGAAGGTATGCCGCCAGAGTACTATGTTAGTCGAGGAAACAGTCTAGTTGATCTGTTCAGGCGGCATCCAACTCTGAAGTACGACCTGGTGTGGTCGGTATTCGGTCTTCGCATGCAAGTCATGCTCCTCAGTGAGGCCAGAGAAGTGGTGGCAGCTGGTTACCGAATGATTCGCTATGCCATTTCAGATGTGTCTTCTCTAAAGAAGATCCGCAGTCTGAATACTGACATCATTGTTGTGACGTGAGTTCAGCCATGTTTGTACGTTTGGCAAGACTGCGAGCCGCAGCTAACAAATTGTAGATCTTTGATCAAAGACCGAAAAGCAGATCTGGAGCGTGAACAGGCCCTGAAGTTCGTTCGGGCCTTCTTGGACGTCAAGGATGGAGTCAAAGAGCTTTCACGCGCTGTTGTGAGGACTATAGCCGCTGTTGCCGAGCAGGCTGAAGATCGCCTACGCTCCATCTGTCTGGAAACGCTTGCTGAAATTATGCTTCGTGACCCAGCCCTTGCAGTCGCCTCTGGCGGTCTTTCACCGCTCTCTGAGGCTTTGATCGAAGGAACATATAAATCGCCCGAATCACTCACGGCGTCTTATATGCAGATCTTGGATAACCCACAAAAGAGAATCTACTTGCGCTCCGGTTATGATCTGGAGGTTCTCTTCACGGCATTCACAGATATCATCCTTGCAAATGAGAGCTTACTGAAGCAGAACGCCAAGGCGATCACCAAGATCCTGAAGAGCTGGCCGGGATTGATGATGCTGACTATGCATGACTCTCGAGCCATCAAGTCGCTGCTCACTAGCATGGTGCTTCCACAAGCAACCATCCGAGAGACAGTCATTGACCTCATTTACCTTCTCCTCCGGATCAAATCGCCTTCATGGGCTTCTTCCTTCCTGGCTGGTCGTCGCCTAACGACATATGGAAGAGTAGCAAGCCTCAAATCAGTTCCGAACCAGACGCCCTCAGCCAATGCTCTGCCAGTGGAAGAAGATAGCGGAGAGCAAAACTTCATGGATCACTACACTGCCCTGCTTCTAGCCACATTTGTCAAGGCTGGTCTGCTAGAAAATTTGCTTCAAGTTGCCAGAACCAGTGACCCTCAGCTATCCAGAAAGACGTGTCTTCTGATTGGCGAGGTGCTGAAGCTGGCAAGCAGGCTCCTCCCCGCGACATGGAGCAATGACTTACCTCTGCTTCCGGAACTCTTCGCTGCGGCGACTCAGTTCAAAGACGACAACAGATTCGTTGCCTCGGGCATAGTTTATCAGATTAGCTCGGTGAGCAAGACGCTGTACAGGAGCACACCGTCTATCGCGACTGCTGGAACTCTCCCCTCCAGCGACAATCTCGCAGACATGCACCGTAAAAGCAACGCCGGGATTGTGGTTCAAGAGGGCGCGATCCGGCAGCTTTTGGTGGAGTCTAATGTCCTGAACAGCTCCAACTATTTGAAATGGAACTGGGATGTCATCTCGCGAATCATCGAAGGACCGCTCCAAGATGGGAAGCGCTTGGACGAGGTTAACCGAGTGTCCAAATTTATGAACAGGATCATGAGCTTCTACCGGCCTTTTAAGCACAGGTTTTCGGATCTTACAAGCAACAAGAATTCTCAAAAGTATGTCAGGGTCGGATGTACGCTGATGCACACTCTGCTTCAGTCAAATGAGGGCTTTCAGTACTTGCAAGATCATAAGATGTTACGGCAGATAGCTGAGTGCCTCGCTCAATGCGATCCGGTAAGCAAAAGACACATCGTTGGCGGCTTCATCAAGACACTGACAATCAACGCAGAGCAGCGGATTGACATCCACGGACCCAATGTTCTCCCCTGGTCGACTGCAAAGCACACTTTGCGCAGGATACTTCCCCATGCTCGGAGTCCTAAGTGGTGATCCCAGGGGCTTGGAGCTTCTACAACGCTGGAGAATGTTCAACATGATGTACCACATTCTCGGACACAAGCAGCGCCCTGACTTGATCAAGCTGCTTCTCTCAAACTTTGACTACAGCATCCCGGGACACCCACGAGTGCTTATAGAACAGGCACTTACGTCTGGGACGAGGGAGATTCGCATCACGGCGACGAACGCGCTGCGAAAGTACGCCACTCGACCTTTCGATGCATCGCAGCCCTCCCACGGCAAGATTGACTGGAAGTGGGCTATCGAGAAGCTGTGCGACCAACTATACGACCCCGAGGTAGAGGTCTGCCGAACCGCGGTTAAGATCCTCGAGAAGGCATGCAATAAGAAAGCATATCTGGAGTATGTCGTCCAGTGTCGTCCGACAATGGACCACTTGGGAGAGATCGGTGCTCCTCTCCTACTGCGGTTCCTGTCCTCGTCCATTGGCTACCACTACCTCGACGGCGTTGATTATATCAGCAATGAGATGGATGACTGGTTCCTCGGTCGAAACGACTCATATGTCGGTGTGATCGAGACCAGCCTGGCCAAGGCATTCCTAGAGAATCCGGAGGAGCATCAGAACCGTATGAACATGGTGGAGGAAGTTCAAGCAGACGCCGAGCCAGAGAATCACATTCCACCGCACTTCTATCGCGAGCTTGCACGCACTCAGGAGGGGTGCAAGTTACTGAGCGACAAGGGACATTTTGCCGAGTTTGCCAGCACGATCAAAGAGTACGGTATGCAGTCGGAAGACCCCGAGCTCATGCTAAAGGTCAAGGCCTCCATGTGGGCTGTCGGCAACGTGGGATCCATGGAGCTCGGTGCCCCTTTTATCGAATCATGCGATGTTATTGAAGACATTGTCAAGATTGCTGAAGAGCACGAGGTGATGAGTCTGCGTGGTACCGCCTTCTTCGTCTTGGGACTAGTCTCTCGATCCGCCCACGGTCTTGAGATCCTGTCAGAATGTGGATGGGATGCAAATCTTTCACCACGAGGAGAGTCGATGGGATTCTGCATCCCCAACAACTTGTCCAAATTCTTCTCGTTCAAACCCTGGAAGCACGCTATTGCCTCCAAGATTGCGTTGCCAGATACGCAAAAGACCTTTCTAACCCCGCCACCCCCAACAGAAGCACGTCCGCCTCTAGAGAAGGAGGAGCTGCCGGCCTTCACTAACGAAGAGGCCATCAACCAACGAATCTTGGATCTCGTTGTCGACCTCGGCAACATGGTTCTGTACAAGCGGGCGATGGGTGAACTGATGCAGATCAGGCAGCACAAGGTGGCAGGGTTTAGATGCCCCAAAATGTTCAAGCGCGTCATGACTATGCTGGAATACAATCACTACCGCCTGCCTATCAGACGAATGGTTCTCGAGATGTTTGATAAAAACGTTCTCAGAAGGATTGTCTTTGATGAAGACAGCGATAGTGGATCTGACGACGAAGATGTCGACGAAGATGAGGAAAACGCATCCTCGGGCGACGAAAACCGAACAGAGAGGCAGCGAAGCATCTCAGATCCATCGGAGCTGAAGGCGGAGACGGAGCCTCTGCCGAAGGCGGAGCGATCGGACAGCATGAGCTCATTTGATACAGACAGCTCAGCTGACTCGACGGAGACCGCGTAAGGTTGTGTGATCCGTTTGCACACAGCTGCTCATCGTCAAGAGACTACTTGGCATTTGAAACGGAAAGGTATCAGTGGATTTCGAGAGGCATCATGATGAGGCGTTTTGTTTGTTGGCTTTTCTTGTACTATAACTCGGGACTTTGGGGGAGTGGATAAAGTCTCCAGCTGAGGTTTTGGCCGGCAAAGGGACCTAGAGAAGCTACGGATTGATATTCAAGGACAGGATGGAGTTGGTGGCCATCTGCGTATCGATTCTCAAATGGTGTAGGTAGGGAGGGACGGTGTCGACACGATAGGCAAATCAAAAGTGGCTTGTTTTTCTCATCTCTCTTGCTCAGATCACTCATCCTTTTATTGCCAGTGCTGAACCTCGAGGGAGAGGGTTGTGCATACAATAACGGCAGCCATGATGCGCGACTTACCAGTAAGACGCAGTAAGGCGCGGTCACAGTAAGGCGTGGGAACACGAGGAAGAGTTTGCAAGTCGAACGTTTTATTGAGGTGAGCAAAAAACTAAAGGGTGCCCCGCCCCCACCTGAGTGACATCTTCGACCCGCGACCGATCCGTCGTCAGCCGTGCCTACCCCGTCCTCCGATGATGTCCGATCCCTCTACACGGAAAGAAGCTCCGGAGAGTTGATTGCTACCTTACACGTATCAAGGCTCTTTATTTCCTACAACAGATTGGGAACCGGAGACGTTCCCTCTGACGAGTTCTTTGCGTTCCTACATTGGTCAACATGGTTCAGGGACGAGTTCTCGTCATTGCCGGCTCGGACTGCTCTGGCGGAGCGTGAGTACACACTCTCTCATCTCCAGTTTGTGACAACAGGCGCAGAGAAAAGTTGTTGACACGGGGATTCAAAGAGGCCTCGAGGCGGATCAAAAAGTCATCGCGGCGCATGGCTGTTATGCTATGACGGCCACCACGGCACTGACGGCGCAGGACACGACTGGAGTGCACGACATTCACCATGTTCCGCAGAAGTTTCTGCTCAAGCAGATTGATGCCTGTATTGGTGATATCGGGGTGGACGTTGTCAAAACTGGTGAGATTTTGGCGTCATTGTAGAATGTTTTTGTTCCATGGATCTAAGCAGCTGACTCGGAACCAGGCATGCTGGCTTCGCCTGCTACGATTGAGACGGTTGTTGAGGCTCTCAAGAGACACAAGGTCCCCAAGGTCGTCGTGGACCCGGTATGAAAACGTCATGTTCACACTTTTTTTTTTTTTTTTTTTTGGATAGAGCACCCGAGTTTACTCACACAAACTTTGCCATAGGTCATGATCGCGACCAGCGGCGCGGAGCTGCTCCCCCGCGAGGCCGTCGCCGCGTTGTTGGAGGGTCTGCTGAAGCTCACCACCGTCCTGACGCCAAACATCCCCGAGGCCAAGCTCATCCTCGAGGACTCGGGCCACGCGCCGGTCGAGGTCGAGAGCGTCGGGGACCTCGAGGCGATGGCCAGGTCGGTGCAGGAGCTGGGGCCCGAGTGGGTGCTCGTCAAGGGCGGGCACGCGCCGTTCAAGGCTGACTTAAGTGTGGCCAAGAGCGAGGAGGACAAGGCTGTTGTTGTGGATGTGTTGTATGGGCACGGCGAGTTTTGGCATGTGCAGAGCCCGTATCAGAGTTCGACGAATACGCATGGGACCGGCTGTTCTTTGGCTTGTGAGTTGAGAGATTCTTCGGTCGTGATTGAGTATGATGGAGGCTGATTTGTGTGGCAGCTGCTGTTGCGTCGAATTTGGCAAAGGGGTTTGGTGTACCGGAGGCTGTCAAGTCGGCTTGTCGGTACATTGAAGCTGGGATCAAGACTGCTCCTGGGTACGGAAAGGGACATGGGCCGCTGAACCACTTTCACTCTATCCATACGTTACCCTTTGCACCGTAAGCTCTCTATAAACCACGGGTATAGGCAACGAGTTGACTAAAGCCGATAGGGGGCGCTTTATCGAGTACATGCTTGAGAGGCCGGATGTCAAGGATGTTTGGAAGACGTTTGTGTATCACCCTTTCGTCATGGCCATGGGAGACGGAACGCTGCCCATGGAGTCGTTCAAGCAGTATCTCATCCAGGACTACCTCTATCTAGTACGTGTGCTATGGTCCTCAGCGGAAATTCTTGGTTGCTCATCTTCTATCTTAGGTTCACTTCGCCAGAGCCAATGCACTGGCTTCGTACAAGGCGAAGAGCATAGCAGACATCTCAGCTGTAAGTGTCGCCCATGGTTCTGGAGTGGTTCGTTCTGTGCTGACTCATTTAGGGTGCCACAATCGTCAACCACATAACTCGTGAGATGAGCCTACACATCGACTATTGCAAGGGCTTCGGCATCACGGTGCCTGAAATCGAGGCGACAGAGGAACATCAAGGCAAGTCTAACTTGTGAATTTTGGCCCCTTGGGGAGGGACACAAGAACGAGACTGACAAAGGCCCGTACACACAGCCTGCACAGCGTACACGCGCTACGTTCTCGACGTGGGCGTCAGCGAGGACTGGATTGCGCTGCAGATGGCCCTCGCGCCGTGCCTGCTCGGATACGGCGCCGTGGCGAAACAGCTCCACGGGGACGTCAAGACGAAGCGCGAGGAGAACACGTACTGGAAGTGGATCGAGAACTACGTCGCTGACGACTATGTCGGGGCGGTGAAGACCGGCTCAGGTTTGTGGAGATTTTTTTGATCCCGTATGGTTGAGTAAGTCGTTGTTCATTGCTGACTGACGGGGGTGAAATCACAGAGTTGATTGAGAGACATGCCGCCTTGCAGAGCCCGTCGAGTATAGAGCGGTTGATCAAGATCTTTATTCACGGCACAAAGGTTGGTTTTAATGTTTGTGGGGCGGGGTGAAGCTTGGGCTAACTGTGTTGTAGATGGAGATTGGTTTCTGGGAGATGTTCCCCTACCGGTGAGTTTCGGCGAGGAATGTTTACCGGTAAGCTGGTAATGGCGTTCTGTCGGTGAATATTATTGTTTGTTACGTGGTGAATGCTCTGCAGTTGGAGCGAATGTCCTTCAACCAAAGACGATAGATGGAGGGCTGGCCTTGAACTGGAAACGGGTGTAGCAAGATGGAGGCAAGGATGGTGGCCCCTACATCACATGGCTGCCGTGTTGATACTCAAAACAGCCTCATAGATTGTGGACGAAGTTTCTGCTCCTACCTACCTTTTCTTTCCTTCGTTACCTTAGGTACGTTAAGTATAAATTAGCTAGACCTTAGACAGAGAGAAGGCTGAGCATTACTCGTCGGGCTGATAGAAGCTTCCAATGTCGTCTGATGCATCTTGCCGTGCTTCCTTCCTTCCCTTGACTTCCCGCCGCGGGTGCGCATGCCGTCCCAATTGGTACTGATGCCAAACAGCAGCAGTCAAAGGGTTCCCTTGCACTGCTTGTGCTGAGGCTCACTCGAGGCCAAACGATTTCCAATCATTCAAAACCAGGTCTCCGCAATTCGCATGCAAAAGTCTGAAAAAAAGCTGGAGACACCCCGGTCTAAGCCGAAGTACCATAGTAACCAAACCAGCAAGGTGAGAGAGAGGCAGATAAAAAAAACAGAGAAAAAAAAGTCAAGAACCTTGCTGCTGCAGCAGTTGTAGTGTGCAGATTTGGCAGAGGTGCCTTATCGCGAGTCAGACCCACCATCTTATCCAGCCGATAAAGGCAGTAACAGGCCCACGTGCATTGGGTACGTACCTTTTTCGCCTTAGCAGGGTCCTTCTGGTAGCGGTCGCCGAAAAGTTTTGGGCAGGCAAAGAAAAAAAATTCACCCCGGGACCGCCTTCCCTCGCGCTCCCCAAAACCTCTGACCCTCCTACTCTTTTTCTCCCCCTTCTTTCATCTGCATCCCTCACTTCCTCCATCTCACAATCCTCCATCCCCCTCCCTCCAACGCATCAGTTCTCTTTTCGGTTCGCTCCAGAAAAAGAGTCTACTTCGCGTCTTCATTCCCTCCCCACGGTCTTTCTTTTGGCATCGCTCAAGCAAGCGAAGCACCATTCACGACAAAAAACACTTCGCGCGCTCTTCGTAACTAGCAAACATGTCCTACGGCGGCGGATACGGCGGTGGTGGTCGCGGCGGCGGCGGCTACGGAGGAGGTGGCTACGGCGGTGGTCGTGATCGCCAGGACAGAGGCGGTCGCGATGGCGGCTACGGCGGCGGTGGCTATTCCAACGGGTAAGCATCTCTCTGACTCTATCCTCAAACACGTCGGTCAGGTTCACGAGGCGGCTGTTGCCTTGGCGCGACACCGCTCGTAGTGCCACGATGCTTGTTCCGAATCTGGAGCGCGGTGTCGATTCCAAACAACACCAACCCCAGCTTCAGCATTTATCATTAGACTTTGTCGTCAACACTTTTGCTAACTGGTCAGTGACAGCAACGGATACGGTGGTGGTGGCGGCTACGGTGGCGGTGGTGGTTTCGGCGGTGGCGGTGACCGCATGAACAACCTTGGCGCTGGTCTTCGCACACAAGAATGGGGTCAGTTGATTCACGACAGTATACACAGGCAACGCGTTTGCTAACTTGTTTTTGCACAGATCTTTCCACGATGCCCAAGTTCGAGAAGTCTTTCTACAAGGAGCACGAGGAGGTCGCCAACCGCAGCTCAGAGGACGTCGAGTCCTTCCGTCGCAAGCACCAGATTGCCATTGCTGGCAACGATGTCCCCAAGCCCGTCGAGACCTTTGACGAGGCTGGTTTCCCCAGATATGTCATGGACGAGGTCAAGGCTCAGGGCTTCCCCGCTCCTACTGCCATTCAGTCCCAGGGTTGGCCCATGGCTCTCTCCGGTCGCGACGTCGTCGGTATTGCCGAGACTGGTTCCGGAAAGACGCTTACCTACTGCCTTCCCGCCATCGTCCACATCAACGCCCAGCCTCTGCTGGCCCCCGGCGATGGCCCCATTGTCCTGATCCTCGCCCCTACCCGTGAGCTCGCGGTCCAGATTCAGCAGGAGATTTCCAAGTTCGGCAAGTCTTCCCGCATCCGCAACACCTGCGTTTACGGTGGTGTTCCCAAGGGCCCCCAGATCCGCGATCTCTCCCGCGGTGTCGAGGTCTGCATTGCCACCCCCGGACGTCTCATCGACATGCTCGAGGCTGGCAAGACCAACCTGCGTCGCGTCACCTACCTTGTTCTTGACGAGGCTGATCGCATGTTGGACATGGGTTTCGAGCCCCAAATTCGCAAGATTATTGGCCAGATTCGCCCTGACCGCCAGACTCTCATGTGGTCCGCCACTTGGCCCAAGGAGGTTCGCGCTCTTGCGTCCGACTTCCTTTCCGACTTCATCCAGGTCAACATCGGTTCCATGGACTTGGCTGCCAACCACCGCATTACCCAGATTGTTGAGGTCGTCAACGAGAGCGAGAAGCGTGACCGCATGATCAAGCACCTTGAGAAGATGATGGACAACAAGGAGAACAAGGTCCTCATCTTCGTCGGCACCAAGCGTGTCGCTGACGAGATCACCCGCTTCCTTCGCCAGGACGGATGGCCCGCGCTTTGTATGTTGTCCCATCCTTTTCTTAATCCTCTGCACCGTAGCTAACATTTCCCAGCCATCCACGGTGACAAGCAGCAGAACGAGCGTGACTGGGTCCTCGACCAGTTCAAGACTGCCAAGTCTCCCATCATGGTCGCGACCGACGTCGCTTCGCGTGGTATTGGTGAGTATCATTCCCCCCCAACCTACATGGCAACTTCCAGCAGCCTTGTGCTGTACTTTACTCTTATGTCTAGGGGCTCTCTTACTTGCGCACTCTTGCCTGATGCATTCGTGTTTCCTTGGTTCTCTCTGCTCCTGTGTGGAGTCTTGGTCTGGTGTGCAGCCGTTGGCTCGCTATACTCGCTTTTCCACCCTTGTGCCTCCCATTTGCCTATGGTACAAGCGTGGATGTGGCATTTCTTGATTCGCTCAAGCTGTCCCCAAGATTCCCCAAGCCCGAGGACCCGGTACATTGAACTTTCCAGGATGGCATTTGACGCATATGGACTGCCCTGTCTTCGACGGAGTGAAAACAGCCTGATATATTTATCAAACAAACGTGGTTCCCGGCTGGAACGTTGCTATACAAACCGTGAGGCGTCTGCTAACCCCTTGCTCAAGATGTTCGCAATATTACTCACGTGCTTAACTACGATTACCCCAACAACTCGGAGGATTACATCCACCGTATTGGTCGTACCGGTCGTGCTGGTGCCAAGGGTACCGCCGTTACCTTCTTCACCACTGACAGTCAGTCCTTCCTCTTACCTTACCTGTCTGATCAAAGTGCTAATTTTCTCGCAGACTCTAAGCAGGCTCGTGACCTTGTCAACGTCCTCAGAGAGGCCAAGCAGGAGATTGATCCCCGTCTCGCTGAGATGACCCGCTACGGTGGCGGCGGCGGTGGTGGTCGCTACGGCGGCTGGGGCCGTGGCCGTGGTGGTGGCCGTGGCGGCGGTGGCGGTAGTACGTGTTTCCATTCTCCCCAAGTCTAGTGGCCTAATCGCTGACCGGACTTTCTTTACAGACAACGCTAACAACGCTCCTCTAGGAGGCGCTCGTCGTTGGTAAGAAGCTTGCCAACCGGACCATTCCAAAGGCAAAGTGACTCATCATGCGGCGGCAACTTGCGCAATTCTCATGCAAAATCGGCGTTCACGTAGACGGGGGTTTTAGACTCGAGGTACCCGGGACACGTATCTGTGTCTCCTTCAGTCTGGTATTCCTCCACGGCTGTTTTCATTTTCCTTGAGTGTTTTCTTTTATTTGCCCATAACGGTTTGGGGCTTGTGTGCGATATCTCTTCAGGCATGGTCAAACGTGGATCAGGTTGAACAAAAAGTTAAGACGGAACGGAGACGACACGATGATTGGTGTCGTGGACTGCAATAGAGATCCTCGTGGGGTCCCAGTCACTTTTGATGCTCTTCCATGAGCAAGTATGGATGGCTCAAGTCGAAAGCTCGACAGGTCGTAAAGGCATTCATTAGATGACTGTGTATATCATACATGGCCCTGTCGAGGGCGGCTTACTGCTCAAGTAGTAATAGGAAGATCATCTCATGATAAGACTTGAACATACTCATGCTCTCTACTGGACATCGTGCGTGATAGCCTTTTTAATGCTGGTTGGCATGCTCGTTACTGTTCTCTTGATATGATACTAAATCGTAAGTTAAGGCCTCACGCCAGCCGAGGCCTGGGGGTGGGCCGCCTCATTGACACCAAACCATCGTTTACATGCTGTCGCCTTGTTCGTCCCCGAAATCTTGGTATTGTTTTGGATACTTGACCTCCTTTGCAGCGGCGTCTTTATGGGGAAAAGTCCGCCATCCACAGACTCGATAAAACGCGCCTGTGGGACTATTTGGAAGGGATCATGGATGGGTGTTTCTATGACTAGAAGAGAGCGCGGGAATCGGAGTCAATGTTTGTGATGCCCAAAAGGGTATGATTGTCTCGCCCGTCTGCTTGAACGTACTGACTGCTCCGATCGTGTCATGCTTCAACGTGACCATCCCTGTATGGGCCTTCCGTTCTCCCTTTGGATGATGGAAGTTTCGTCAGTCATGTGCTGGGTTGCTGTCCACCCTTTTCCCCCAACTCGCTCAAGTGCCTCTTCACGCTCTGTGTGTAAACGAGTATCTGAATGGCCACATGGGACTTTACTGTGCAATAACCCGAGGGCCCAAGAATCTGACACGGAACGAGCAGAGGGAAGGACAGGGTCGTAGAGAGTTTCTGATACTTTGACTCGGCCCCGCCCGTCCGTTCAGCATCATTTCTTTTTGAGAGAGGAATGGAGATGGAAATCATATCGTCGTCATGGTACACGTTCCTTTACCTGCAATACAGTTCTCCTCGAAGTCTTGAGTTTCCATCCCTGGATTCCAAACCTCGAGATGCGGGAAAAAGCCT